GGACAGTCAGTAACCCTAGAAGAGCTACAAGCAGCAGCCTCTACAGTAGTAAGCCTCGACATGCGTAACGGGAGAACCAAGATTGTCAAATAGAACACGGTGAACACCAACGCAATTACATTTGATGGGGAAGCTTTAGAAGAGGTGAAAATTTCTACATACCTAGTCAAAATAATCGATGAAGAGGGAAGATCTGATGCAGACGTAAATACAAGGATTGGTAAATAAAGGCCAGCATTCCTAGAACTGAAGAACATTTGGAACTCAAAACAACTGTCAACCAATATCCAAGTTAGAATCTTCAATACGGACGTCAAGACAATCAGTTATATTGTGGAGAGCTAAAACTTGTAAAACTACCGCAACCATCACCAAAACTGTATAAGTATTTATGAACAATTTTCTGCGCAAGATACTCAGTATCCGATAGTCGGATATCATCAGCAACAACCTACTATGGAAGAGAACAAATCAGCTGATAACTTGAGAGGAAATTCGGAAAAGATATTGGAAGTGAATAGGACATACGTTACTACCTAACAATACAATACAGATTGTATTACGAGAGAAGCAATAACTTGGAATCCTGAAGGGAAATGAAAAAGAGGAACACGAAAGAATGCACTACTCCAAGAATTGAAAGTAGACATCAAAAGGATAAACAGCAACTGGAAAAAAGCGTAAAGAATTGTCCAGGACAGAGATAGATAAAGAATATTGGTAGTCGATGCATGCTCCTCCACGAGGAGTAGCAGACGTAAGTTAGTAAAATAAGTAAGTAAGTAAGTAAGTAAGTAAGTAAGTAAGTAAGTAAGTAAGTAAGTAAGTAAGTAAGTAAGTAAGTAAGTAAGTAAGTAAGTAAGTAAGTAAGTAAGTAAGTAAGTAAGTAAGTAAGTAAGTAAGTAAGTAAGTAAGTAAGTAAGTAAGTAAGTAAGTAAGTAAGTAAGTAAGTAAGTAAGTAAGTAAGTAAGTAAGTAAGTAAGTAAGTAAGTAAGTAAGTAAGTAAGTAAGTAAGTAAGTAAGTAAGTAAGTAAGTAAGTAAGTAAGTAAGTAAGTAAGTAAGTAAGTAAGTAAGTAAGTAAGTAAGTAAGTAAGTAAGTAAGTAAGTAAGTAAGTAAGTAAGTAAGTAAGTAAGTAAGTAAGTAAGTAAGTAAGTAAGTAAGTAAGTAAGTAAGTAAGTAAGTAAGTAAGTAAGTAAGTAAGTAAGTAAGTAAGTAAGTAAGTAAGTAAGTAAGTAAGTAAGTAAGTAAGTAAGTAAGTAAGTAAGTAAGTAAGTAAGTAAGTAAGTAAGTAAGTAAGTAAGTAAGTAAGTAAGTAAGTAAGTAAGTAAGTAAGTAAGTAAGTAAGTAAGTAAGTAAGTAAGTAAGTAAGTAAGTAAGTAAGTAAGTAAGTGAAGTAAGTCTAATTATCTTTTGTACTATATAATTTCTATTTAAATCTCAACATTAAATCATCACTCTACTTATTCATTTAATGATACCAAAGAAACACAATGATCAGTGTTTATTTTATAAAGTTTGTTTGTTCCCGCTTTAATTTAATTTTTAAATTTTAATTATTATTTATTTTTTCTTGAATATTATGATTACATTATTACATAATAAAATTTTTTTTGTTTCATTCTAATTAACTTTCATTTGATTGTTTTTTTTTTTGTTTTTCATATGAATTCATTTACATGTTCAATGAATGAACTAATATTAATGCATAAAATAATAATAATTTTAAAAACAATTATGATAATTAAATTAAAATTGTTTTATTATTTCAATTTTCAATGTTCAATATTCAGTGTTCAATGTTTTTTTTCTTCATTTATTGAGTAGGAAATAAAATGATAGGGCGGGGAGAAAGAGTTATACACATTCTTAGTATATCTATATACATAAGTATACGGCTATAATGGGTATAATGGGAGAAACTTCTTTACTTCTTTATAGTCTAATTAGAATTAACTTTTTTTTAACTTGACATAATAATAAATAAAATGAAAGAAAAGTAATTAAAAACTGAGAAGAAAAGAAAGAGAAAGAAAATAATTTTACTGATTTATTTGTGATTAATTTCTTTATTTGTTATTAGTTTTAATAGATGAATTCATAAGTTAAATAAAGCTAGACCACCATAGAAAACCTGGACGCTTAGCCTGTAGACCACTGATCTGGCCAGCATCCAACAGTGTTTATATCTAGCTTCAATTGATCCACCATATTGCGCTCGCGCGTGAGACTGATAGTTCCTGCGTTCGAATCTCGCGCAATCGTGTACGCGCACTGCTTACGAGTCCCATATTAGGACGATACAACCATCTAGTACTTCCAGGTTTTCCATGATGGTCTAGCTTCAATTGACTCATGATTTCAACTATTAAAATTATTATAATATCCACAAAACCCCCCTCTGATTACAATCATCATATTCTCACTAGTGACCGTCTCCAAGAGGTATTACCTGGAGTTCTAGTGAAAATCTATGACCAATGGAGTTCAACCGAGTTTGTTGTGAGATAGTAACTCCCTGAAAACAATGATATGTGTGTCACTGAATTTCGTGGATTAGTTGCACTCAGACATTAACAAAGTTGGATGCCGGCTCAGTGATTTATAGGTTAAGCGTTTGCGCGCGAGATCGATGATTAATTATTTACCTATGAATTTTTATTTTGTTAAATGATACAAATTAACCAGCATTATTCTTGCTTAACAGTTTATTATGGTCGAGACTGAAGTTAGTGGGTTTGGATTCTATGTATGAGATGGTGGATGCATACCGCCGAAAAGTCCCAAACTAGGAAAAAAAACGATCGTCTATTTGTTCAAGGTTTTCAATCGTGATTTAACATTGATCAATTCATGATCTTAATTAAAACTCAACAATCTCTATAACTATATACTCATAGTTGTATGAAATACTAGGATATTTAAAATTTACATGTTACTTACTGAATATTATATCGACTAGACAAATAGAAAAATTATAAACACTAATTATACCAATAAGGATTTGTGGAGTTTGTGGTAATTTTAATAGTTGAATTTATGAGTCGATCTAAGTTAGACCACTATTGAAAACCTGGAAGCACTGGATAGCCGCTTCATCCTAGCATGAGACTCTTCAGCAGGCATGATTCGTCAAGTCCAATCCGTGTCGCTTGGAAACAGTTATTCACTACAAACAATGGATGAAGAATTGCTCAAGATCACACATGAATGGTAAGTAAATATTATCAGTTTTTGTCTCATAGGGTGATAAATGATCTTATTCATTTGAGTTATTGTCAGGGCAATCGTTGCATATCATATCACGTATATATTTAACGGTTATATATCAACATACGACAAATAGTTTGTTAATAAATTTATATTGGTTACGAAAATACAACTCGTTTCGTTAAAGAATAAACAACTTATATGAGATAACTATCTGTGGAATCAGTCAATCAGTCAGCCAGTCAGCTACAACGTAGGACCATGCATATATATATGCATCGGCCCAATTTGTCAAACCTCATTAGAACAACAAGATGATCGCTATTAGGACTGTGGAATAATGCCATTTTATAAGTTAACAATACTATGGTTATTGTATATAGTAAAAACCTACAGTATAGTACTATCATACTAAAGTTTTATTGAAGCCGTCAACATCAAAAAACGTACTATGTATAATTTAGACAAAATCACATCCAATTGTCTTGCAGTCTGGTTGTAAAATGAATCGGTTTATAAAACATTACTTAATTTGGTGGATAGTTCCGCAGTATGTGTCATTTCATGATGAAAAATGTCTTCACAAATTTCCCAGCGCGAGAGTGATAGATTCTGAGTTCGAACCTCGTAAGGCAGGATCGTTCGTTTACACTGCTGAGGAGTCCCATACTAGAACGAAACGGTCATCCAGTGCTTCCAGCTTTTCTATGATGGTCTAGCTTCAATTGACTCATGAATTCAACAATTGAAAAAAACGAAGTAATTCACATTATGATCAGTGTTTGTAGCTTTTACTCCATTATGATGCTCGGGTGGGAACAACCGTTTGTATTTTATTACAAAATTACAGAGTTCTTTCACCAAATATGAGAATGATACGTTCAATAATTCATTTGTAAATCCTCCATCAATTGTCTCAAACTTCATCGTTCTTTCATTACTATAACAATTATTCTCTGTTCCCGTTCTCTTCCCAAACTTCTGCTGACAGACATTTCATTTCTGATTTGTGTTATATACTACTTATGTGAACATAAGTAACATACATCAAACTATGACAAAAAAAGATGCCTTTTCTAGAAGCTTAACAGCCATGACTTAATTTCCTTTCATTCTAAGCACACTGGGATATAAAATACAAATGACTAGTACTTATCCACTTAAAATATTTGAGTTTTCATGTGCAGGATAAGAAAAGCAATTTCTAGAAAGACGAAACATATTTCAGATCATGTATTCATCTATTTACAAGCTCTAGAACGCGGTTCGAATCCAGATTAATCATTTACATGAAGGCAGTATTCTAATTCTTTGTTTGCCATTACAGAGAGCAATAAAATGATCTATTGTACAGTAACGTGAAGTGTTTGGGAAACAAAAATCCGGCAGTTTAAGGATCCGCTAAAGTTGTAGTTTAACATGAAAGAGCTTACTAAGTGAGAATACTAAGTTTAAGTCTGGAGAAATAAGTGTAGATTAGACTGTTGATCTTTATCAATTCAGGTGCTTGTTTTTTTTTAGCTATGTTGTAAGATTCAGATTCCTAGTTGGTTTCCATGGCATGATTGTCTAGTTGTCTAGCATGAACAACTGATCGAAAAACTTCCAGAGAACCCAGAAAGAAAGCTGTTAAACTTGATTAACAATCAGATATATTCATGAAAAGTTTTTTAAATATTATAGATAGATGCAACAGAGATGAGATAATAAACACATACACAATTGATGATGAAATGGAAGTTCACAAAAACAAAACTGAATAAAGTCAGTTGTTATTGATTATTTCAATTATTAATCTTCCGTACTGTGGGTGATAAGTTCCTTGATTTTTGGATACGTCTATATAAAGAACAAGAAAATGAAAGAGGGAATTCCACGGTATACAAAGAAATTGCTACAAACAGATCGATTGATGTGGTCAACTTGTATCTAAATCATAAGTTTTAAGTCATCTATAAATTTTGCCTAATTCTCACATAGATATTATTGTGAATCATTGACCCTTTTTCAATAGGAGTTAGAAAATACAAAAAATACTGGACTGTTTTAGACAGATAAACCGTTACAATAGAAAAATCTGGATTAGTAGTACATGATTTGCCCCCAAATGCCCTGACACAACCGAGAGTGGAGAGAGTCAGCTCGCTCTCTCGAAATGCTCTCATACGACCACATGCATACAACCACTCCAAGGGAAGTCCTACTCACTGCCTTCTCGTGACATTACTATTGTTTACGAAATTGAAAGGACGAAAAGAGAATGCCCGTCACTTTAACCGAGTTGGTGGATACGGAGGATCTACCTAGGGAAGTTGGAAAACACTGACTCCAAACTAATGGTGTACAAGGGCTCCAGTATCCTGAAGGAACAAATGGCGTATGAATCAATTGTTGGTCACCGGCTACCATGTGACTGCATCTCCAAACGTTGCTCAAATGCCTTGTGGACTAGGCGTTTAAGTCAGAGGCTCCGGGTGTGGTCCTCTAATAAAGTCACCTGCTTCGTTTGGGCACTCGGACATCACAGCCCTTACAAAAATCGAATGATTTGTGTGGCGCATATCCGTTTGATGCCTTCTTATACCAATGTTTATATGTTTAAATAAATGAATAAATAAGTACATGATTTAAAACTGCTATACTTTCTAACAAAACCTAATTGAAAAGATATTAAGACAGAATGAAGGTACACATGAAAAGGGAATATATAAAGGAATATTTATGATCTATTGAAAGAATGTGAGAAAATTGAAGACTAAATATAACATTCCCTGTGGTCCTTGAAATTCATAGTTTCACCAAGACAATCTAAAACCTAATACGTAATACAAAGCTATTGTCAGTCAATTCGTAGCTTGTGTATTAGATTATCACTTACTGATAGTACTTCCAATCGATTGATCACTGGGTGGCGATCAGCGTCATGTGTGCCAAGTCCTTCTTAGTACAGATCAAAAGCTATCGATCAAGTTGCAATGTGGTCACTAGTCTAGATGACTCAGGATTGCGTGCACTATGTTGAGATTAGATGGTGGTTGGAGGTAATCAACAGGAAACCCTAGACCCGGGTTTCGTGTTACCTGGCACTCGTCAGCAAGGTTTACCTGTAATCTTGAATGAACTGCTGCTTGCTGATGGACTCGATCCCGTGTCACCCAGCTTCACTGTCAGAGACGTTACCACTGGGCTATCCGGGCCGTGACTGACCTCCTGTAGGACTAAGATGTAACCACAATTGATTGATCACTGGGTGGTGATCCAATTTAATTTATTGAATCATATGTCTTAAATGTTCACTTCCGAAAGACACAGAACATATGATATACGTTCTTATAAAACAACAAAAAACACTTGGAAATATAATTGAGTATTGCATTTATACCATAAAAGATGTAGATTAGTTGGATCCAAATTAATAAAGCTGGTAATACTCGTCAAATCAGTTAAATAGTTATTCAAGACATTTCACTTTGTAATGAAACAGATTTTAATGATGGTGCTAGAACAGTATCTTTTCTGGTTAGCGTTTCTTTAGCGAGCTAGTTTTCTATGGAATGGAGTCGCTAACCCCATACCCAACCCTCCTCCCCTATCTGGGCTTAGGACCGGCAGTAGCCCCAGAGGGGTTTCAGGCGGAGCTTTGGAGGATGTAAAAACCTCTATACATCTGGGCAGCATCGTTGATGAACACCGTGAATTTGATGCACATGTGAAGGCGCGGATCAGCAAAGCAAGAGCAGCATATCTACAACTGAAGAACATCTGGAACTCAAAACAACTGTCAACCAACGCCAAAGTCAGACTTTTCAATACAAATATCAAGAACATATTACGCCAAGAAATGGAGACAGACATGAGAAGAATGAACAACAATTGGACGGAACTAGAAAGGAAGGTCCAGGACAGAGTGGGTTGGATATTGCTGGTGGGAGACCTATGCTCCATTGGGGTAGCAGGCGTAAGTAAGTAAGGTAGCATAGTATCTTACTTCATTTAATAAGTTGAAAAATCTCTATTCTAGATTGAATTTAACAAACGTTTATCAGGTTTTGATATTACTACTACTTTTACTAGTTAAAAGAATCTGAAAATTTGTAAGGCTGTTGACATATGTTAACTTCAGTTTTGTCAGCGAAATATGTTATTAGCTTGAATTAGGGCTGCCAGAATTTGATGAAAGTTCTACAGTGGTCCTATCAACTCGTGTAAGCTAACGTAAATCATCAATTCACTTGATGTTGTTTGACTTGTATCTTCTCATCGTTATTTAGGACTGAAATTGATCAGTCTTTCTTATTGGCATATGCACATACTGTGCGGACTACCTTAAGATTGCCCAAAGTCACAAGCTTTATAAGCAAAAATGGATATTGGTTAGCAGTGGAATCCAGGACGCGCGTTTTGTAGCCAACGGTACTGGGTTTGAGTCTCAGAGTGAACATCGACTATGAGATACAAGTATATCCAGCTGACGAGTCTCAAATAAGACGAGACGCGCTTCCTGGATTTCACTGCTAGCCACTATCCATCTTTGCTTATAATGTAAATTATATTCAAGTATCATAGGCACTTTGTTGACACTACTATACTTTGAAGTATGTTGTACAGTAAGAGAAACTTGCCTAGAATGTTGATTTATTAACTGGGAATAAGGAATATCTGAAGTTTTAGAATGAAAAACATTCATATTCTAATCAGGAACTTTGAACCTGATTCAATGGTTAATACATGAACAATGAATGAAAAGCTTACTTGACATAACCAATCAAAATATTCTTCAGTGGACATGTCTACAATACGTGTTCGTATAAAATCAATGGCTACAGCACTTGCTGGTAAAAGAATTTCCCAAAGTGTTAAAGAACACAGGACACGAGTAAATGACATCACAGTAAATAGACTTGGTGACAACTAAAAAAAAAAAAGAAACCCCACGTGAAGCTGTTAGAAAGAAAGGAATGATAGTCCAAACTGTTGACTACTCATGAATAAAGATATTTTCTTAAAGCATTAGTTCTTTAAAATATCAGATATGTTGTGTTGTTTTCGATGTTCTATAGCATTTTAATCAAAAGATAAAACAACGCTGAATACTAACATAAAAGTCACTTGGTATTGTTTACTTGAATCTTCCCATTGATGTTTAGCACTGCAATTGATCAGTTTCTCTTATCGGCGTATGTGCATACTGTGCGTATGCTTCGGTATCGCCTTAGTTCACAAGCATCTGTATGCAAAGGTGGATAATGGCTAGCAGTGGAATCCAGGACACGCGTTTCGTCCTATTTGAGACTCGTCAGGTTGATGTACACGCATCTCAGACATTTTGATGTTCACTCTGGGACTCAAACCCAGTACCGTCCGCTTTAAAGGCCATCGCGTTATCTACTTAGTTATTACTGAAGTTTGAATTCACTTGGTATTATTTACTTGAATATTCCCATTGAGTATTATGCAGTTTAGACTAATTGATTACTGAGTAATAAACAATTCTATTTTATCGACGAAGTGGTCACTGGACTATATGACTCGATAACACAGTGAACTTGATCTGTTCTCAAATGGTTAGAGACAATCGACAGAAAGTTCTGAGGTTGGATTTCATGCTGATCAGATATCATTAGAAATCCATGTTTGCAGTTTTATAGGAACTCGTACTTACCCAAACACTTCAAAGCTATGTCATAAAGTGAATCAAACACAAACGTCACTTCTAGGTTATTCGTATCACAAGTGAACTTATGACTGAGATGTTTGCATAAAACACCTAACCATGTTACAAGTTAAACAATAAGCTCAAATGAAATTAAGTTATGTTTATACTATTCAAAAAAGAATCAACAAAACAGTCGAAGAAGGTTTGAATAGACTTTTAGATGTAAAAAGAAGAGGAATCAGTTGAAAATCTGACTGTAGAATCAATCCAGAATATTTAAGTAATGACTGAAGTTAAACAATACAAACCATTTGGTTTTAGATTCGGAAGAAAAGCAACAGAATGGATTTTAGGGAAATTATAGATGCATAGAATTTAAATTAGGTTGAGTCGAAACAGAAGAAACAGACTAAATTAATGACATGAAGCCCTTCAAGAAGATGAATCATTTATTATTCTACAGATAAATAAGAAAAACGTTAGACAGTTATAAAATCATCAGGGAAAATATAAATAGACAAAGAACAAAGTATTACAAAATGAAAAGAATATTTCGAATCACTATTGAATATCTGGAAGCGTTGAACTCTTCAGCAGTGCGCATTCACGATCCTGAACACAGGACGCGAATTAAGGACCTTCGGTCTCGAGCACGGAATCAACCTCTGATCTCGTAATGTCATGGATTGATTGAGGTTAGACAATAGCACTGTTGGATACCAGCCCCGTGGTCTACAGGTCAAATGTTTACGCACGAGACTGAAGGTCCTTGGTTCGACTCTCGCGTTCAGAATCGTGGATGTGCACTGCTGAGGTGTCCCATACTAAAACCAAACAGCGGTCAAATGTTTCCAGATCTTTATTAGTGGTTCGACTTAAATAGATTCATCACTAAAATGAAATTCAACTATCTCCACAACCCATACAGAAAAATATTCTGAATATAAAAAATAATGGAGGATGCATTTAGGCTAATTAAACTGTTTCTTCGATTTTTTTTTGAATGACTAATGTTATATCGTTTGAGGTAGTTCGTCGTTACACAGAGTTCAAAACTTACAAGGAGATATCTCATCAGTATTTTTCGAAGTTCAATTGATTTACAGTTCATCTGATTACATTCTAACAACAACAACAACATCTGGAACTCAAAACAACTGTCAACCAACACCAAACTCAGAATTTCCAACACAAATATAAACACAGTTATACTGTATGGGGTGGAAAATTTAAGAACTACGAAAGTCATCATCCAAAAGATACAACTGTTTATTAACAGTTTTCTTCAGAAAATACTTCCAATCCGTTGACAAGATACTATCAGCAACAACCCACTATGGGAGAGAACAAACCAGATTCTAGTGGAGGAAGAAATTAGTAAGAAGTGCTGGAAGTGGATAGGACACACATTGAGGAAAGCACTCAACTGCATCACAAGTCAAGCGCTGACTTGAAACCCTCAAGGCCAAAGGAGAATCGGAAGACCGAAGAACACATTACACCGAGAAATTTAGACAGACATGAAGAGAATGAACAAAAATTGGATAGAACTAGGAAGGATAGTCGAGGACAGAGTGGGTTGAAGAATGCTGGTCGGCGACCTATGCTACATTGGGAATAACAGGCGTAAGTATGTTTAAGTAACCTTATGGAGTGAATATAATTTAATCTAACAAGTTATTTAACGAAACTGAATCACCTCACAATCACTTAATATTGAAGAAAAAGTTTAAAAAATGCACAATACATTAACCAATTAGCTATTTGAATGATTTTAGTCAAATGAAGGTTAATAATTACATGTCTATGGTTATTTTGTATAAAATTGTCAGTTTTAATAATTCATGAGTCGATCTAAGCTAGACCACCATTGCACACATAAAAGCATTGGTTGGACGTTTCATCTTGGTACCGAACTCCTTCATAGTGCGCATCCGCAATCACGCATATGGGACTCAAACATAGGACCTTCAGTTTTGTGAGCGAACACTTGACCTGTACACTATTGAACTGTCATCCAACAGTGTTAACGTCTAAATTCAATCAATCTATGATCTTATGCAACACTTCGTCGCTTGTCTAAAGTGGATAACTCTCTCCACCTGACACAGATTGGATTCCATAGTTTGTGTTTTCTCAGTAGAGCTTCAAGAATTCCATCTCGAAGCCAATCACTAATGAGCACATAATGATTAATATCAGAATAGGGATTTATGAAGATTGTAATTTTGAAAAAATGATTGAACTATGCTTAAAAATCCTTGGAAATTCAAAGGATTGATAATTTACTTACTTGAGCATAAAATTTAAGTTTAGATAAAACGGTTATAAATTTCGGTTCAGATTTTAGATCGCATAAATCAGTCAAAATATCCAAATACCTAAATTTAGAAATAAACAATAACAATAAATTATCAGTATAAGGATTGTGGAGATTATTAAGTTTTTTGATTAAAATCATGAGTCGATCGATGTTAGACCATCACTGGAAACCTGGTAGCATTAGACGGCCGTTTCGTCCTATTGTAAGACTTCTCAGCAGTGCACCTTCGGTCTCCCGCGTGAATGCTTAACCTCTAGACCACTGAGCCAGCTGGTAACTAACGGTGTTGATGTATAACCTCAATCAATCAACGAAATCGCGCCACCATCTTTGATTGTAATGGGGTAGATACCTGTTCGAATCCCATGAGCGGGCAGTGCTGAGGAGTTTTACAATAGGAAAAGATGGCCGTCTAGTGCTTCAGGTTTTTAATAGTGGTCTAACGTCAATCGATTCATGATCTCAACAAAAATAATATAAAATTTTTAATTACACTGTGTTTATAAAGAATTATCGTGAATTTGAACACCCCGTAGAGAGGTACTGACTGATTGCTATCACAAAAGGTTTTATTATCAATAGCGCAAAATATGGTATTGAAAACAATTGTTTTAAACATTCAGATTGATTACAACATAGAAAATAAATTTCAGAGAACAATCTGTTAGTAACTAATTAAGATGTAAATTCAGACAATTAATGGATAGTTGTTAAGACTCATTTTTTATAACATAACATTTGAATTATGGTGAACCCTTATTGAGATTTGAAGATCATTGACTACATAGTTCACAGGTCGTACTGTCTTTTGTAGCTCACGATGGCCATTTTCCTCCCTGAACTATAGCTGGTCTCTCACATCTATTATTTGACGTTATAAAGTAATGATGTAAGATCCCCAGTAGTTCTCATTAGCAGTTGTGTAAAAAGTGCTTATATATAACGATATATATTTTATGCTAACGGCTAGAAGATAAAGAACCTCGATCGAAGTTTCTGAGTTCGAATCCTGCGTGCAGGATCGTGGATATGCACTACGCAAGAGTCTTATAATAAAATAAACAAAAAAATATTTATTCTTACTTTGATTGACAGAACTTAACAACTCACAGAGACTAACGTACCATTAGTCAAATTTTTTGCAACTAGTATTTGACCACAGATGCCTAAGAAATATTGCTCGCATCTGCTGGGATCACCGGGTAAGTAACAGTGAGGTTAGACGTAGGGTATTAGGGAATGATGGTAAATCAGTTGATGAGGTTGTGAATCTTCATCGATTGAGATGGTTGGGCCACATGTTACGTATGCGTGAACACCGATTACCACGACGCACAATGCTGACTGGTGTAGGGGATGGTTAGTAGAAAGTTAGAAGTGGCCAAACCAAAACGTGGCATCAGTCATTGAAGTCACGAAATTCTACTCTGAGCCATGTTCGTAGATGCAGACTACTTGGTTTGGGTCCGTGTGACTATCGTAACCAGTGGTTGCAGACTCTTGGTGACATGGCTCAGAATCGATCGATCACAATGGTGTCGGTGTATACACTCTCTGTCTTCCCTTAAACTACGAGATTAAAATCGCTTCATATCTTTCTTTCTATAAACTAATTCTTTCTTTTTGCACCATGTCCTTATACACAATCTTCCTTTTATATATTACCACCATTGAATTAACTACTTTTGTGAATCCGGTGTGTCATGTTGTTGTGGTAATGAGGTGTGGTAACTTGGATCGATGCATATATGTGCCTGGTCCTACGTTGTAGCTGACTGACTGAGTCGATTTTCTCACCTCTACATTAAATTTTTATTTAATTATCATGTGAGAAATAAGATTTCAAACTATTCAAGCAAGAAAGCTAATCAGAAGAAAATATCTCATCATACACTAATTCTATCATAAGTCTTGATCTCGTCCGATATGATCCTATGTACTTGCAGTTTGCATGTATCTTATATGTATATTAGAAGCAATATGTGAAGTTCAAAATAATGTGAATAGAGTAATCAAACCATCATATCTAGAGTCAGTGAAGTGCAAGAAACTAATGTAAAGAAACCTATAGTTAACCTATTTAAAGCCATGACTATTCTTTATTTCTTCCCTCCCCCCTCCCCCCCTCTGTTTAGATCTTCAGCATGTGATTTCTTTTGGATTATTTGCGTCCTGCCAAAAGTATGTACTATATGCTTAGCTTAGTATGAACTCAATAAGTTTAATTCACATGGTGTTGTTTCACTTGTATCTTCCCATTGTTATTTAGGACTGTAATTGACCAGTCTCTTGTTAGCATATGTGCATCCAGTGCGGACTGCTTTGATATTGCCTAAAGTCACAAGCCTTATAAGCAAAGATGGATAGTCCTAATTAGGACTCGTCAGCTGCATGTACCTGTATCTCAGATTTGATTTTCACTCTGGGACTCGAACACAGTAGCAAGTGGCTAACAGGACTCAATACCTAAGTGGATAACGCGATAAAATTTGAAGCGAACGGTGCTGAGTTCGAGTTTCAGAGTGAACATCAACTTTGAACTGCAGGTACATTCGACTGACGAGTCTCAAATAGGACAAAACATCTGTCCTGGATTCCATTGCTAACCACTCTCTGTCTTTTTTTATTCAATAAGTTTAATTTTGTAATGATAGAAAAATATTAGAAGTTGGAATATTTTCTATTTTGCAATGAAAAAAATAAACAAGCAAACAAACGGATACATGAAACTAGGAATGAATAAAATTGATCAATTAAGGGAAATGGCACAGATCACAAGTTATCCAATAACAAAATACCAAATCAACTGATGATCAATAATAACAATCCCAAATTGATCTAAAATAATTCATATCAAAATATAATTTTAGTTACCATGGAGCTAATTCATTTTTTTATTCGATTTTTTAACTAATTCACCAGTTGCTTTATTATAAAGAGCCATTCTACGCATACATTGCATAGCTATATGTGTATAACGATTAGTAGGAATATTATGATATTTAGTCAAGCATATTTCTGGTTTTATTCTATAAGAAAAGAAGAAAAAAAAGTTCAACACTTAGTAGACTATTACTGGCAAATTTTATTTCTCAACTTTATTGCTTACAGCTAACGAAACAATGATTCAATAAATGATAATGATGTATTACGGCAAAGATCAACTCAATTCTTTTCTTACACGTTCTAAACTTTTTAGGTGTGGGTTCGAATCCCACTCGTGACACTACATTTACAGTCCCCAAATGCCCTGATACGACGGAGAGTGAAGAGAAACAGCTCGTTCTCTCGAAATGCTCTCATACGACCACATGCATACAACCACTCCAAGGGAAGTTCTGCTCACTGCCTTCTCGAGACATTATTATTGTTTACGAAATTGAAAGGACGAAAAGCGAATGTCCGTCGCCTTAACCGGGTTTGTGGATACGGAGGATCTACCTAGGGAAGTTGGAAAACACCGACTCCAAACTAATGGTGTACGAGGGCTCCAGTATCCTAAAAGAACATATGGTGTATGAATCAATTGTTGGTGACCGGCTACCATGTGACTGCATCTCCAAACGTTTCTCAACTGCCTTGTGTACTAGACCTCTAAGTCAAAGGCTCCGGGTGTGGCCCCCTAAGAAAGTCATCTGCTTCGGTTTGGGCACTCGGTCATCACAGCCCTTACAAAAATCAAATGATTCATGTGGCGCATATCTGTTTGATGCCTTTTTGTACCAATGTTTATATGTTTAAATAAATAAATGAAGAGAAAATTAGTGTGAAGTTAGGAAAAAATCGTTTATCATTAAAATGATCCACCCCTAAGAATTTAGAGGAAGATAATCACTAATATGTTACAAATATAGTGTAGTTCTACTGTATGAAGCCGAAAATTGTAGAACTACAACAGTCATCATCAAAAAGGTATAAATATTTATAAACAATTGTTTACACAAGATACTCAATGTTCGATGGTCGGATATCATCACCATTCATGTTTCTATGAAAGCAATGATTTGATCTATAACCATTTGCTCATTATAAAAATATCATTCTCTGTATAACCTTTATAAATAATTTAATTTGAATCATGAAATAAAGATTGATTGAAGTTAGACATCAACACCGTTGTATGCCTGCTCATTGATCTATAGGTTAAGCAGTCGCGCGCGAGACCAATAGGTCCCGATTTCGAATCTCGCAGGTTGGGATCACGGATGTGCACTGCTGAGAAATCCCATACTAGGACAAGACGGACGTCCAGTGCTTCCAGGTTTTTCATGATGGTCTAGCTTTAATTGACTCATGAATTTAACTATTAAATATAAATTTATCTTACAGTTTACGTATAATAAACTTAGTAAAACTTACTGTTTCATAAATTCCAAACGATCTTGCAATTTAATAGCGTTCTCATCAGTCATTATTGATAATTGTTTGCGTATGTTATTCACTAAATTTATTAACTTATGACTTGAAAACTCTTTAGGAACTTCATTCACGTGACCTTTCACTGGCCTGTAATAGAAATTATAATCTCAATAACAGTAATTTGAATTCAGATAAATATGGATGCCCACAGTTGAAACCACAAGTCGATCTAAGATAGGTCACCAATGAGAACCTGGAAGCGTAGATAGGCCGTTTCTTCCTGATATGGGATTCCTCATTAGTGTACATTCGTAACCTCACACGCGGGAATCGAACTCAGGATCTTCGGTCATGTGCATGAATACCTGACCTCTAGACATTGAGGTAGCATCCAACAGTGTTAATAGTTAACTTTAATCAATCAATGATATTGCTCAACCCTTCGTCCATTGTTTTCGGTGGGTAACTGGCTCACATCTGATACAGATTGAACTCCACTGGTCATGATCAATGCTTCCAGGTTTTCAATGATGATCTAGCTTAGACTGTGAAAATACTACAATCTCCTCAAATCCCCATACAAAAAAAATGTAAACGACAAAACGTTTTTCATAACATTCAGTTAATTAACTCTAATAGAAAACTTAGGTATATTTGTTGATAAAACGTTGAATGACTATCATCTACCATACGTCAGAGTCGAAATACAGAGCAGTTTACGACTGTCACTCTTAAAGGATATTCTTCTCTAAAACTGGATGAAATCATCAAATAACTAGCAAAGTATTCAGCTTTTCATATGAAAACATCGATGAGAATCGATCGATTATTCACTTTTATCATTCTTATTTGAATATTCAATTACACTAAGTGCTTTTTGCCTCCTTACTGTTCGAAAAAACCAACAATCAATTGTTTACCTGAATCTTCCCATTGATGTTTAGCACTGCAACTGATCAGTCTCTTGTTGCCGTATATGAATACTGTGCGTATTGCCTTAATTCACATGTATTCTAAGTAAAGATGCATAATGGCTCGAGTCCAAGTATGAACATCAACACTGGGATGCAACTACATCCAACTGACGAGACCCGAATAGAACGAAACAAGCGTTTTGTATTCCATTGTTAGCCATCAACCATCTTTGTATAGAATCAATTTATATTTAATTAAAATTCTATATGAATTTTATCTATCTAAAAAGTTCATGAACCTAGATACTTTCTAGTCTTTGTCGACCTTCTCAAGAATTAGAAAACCCTCTACTCTTTGACAACTCCGCCTGGAGCCCCTCTGGGGCTGCTTCCGGCCCCAAGCTCAGATAAAGGAGGAGGGTTGGGCATGGGGTTAGCGACCCCGATCCCGTAGAAAACTAACTCGCTAAAAAAAACACTAACCTACTCAGTGACAAAAAAAGAAAGACCAATACCCGTTAATACATGTTCTCATCTTATCCTCAAAATGAAACAAAAAATCAATAATAAGAATATAGAACAATAAAAACTACTTTTTTTCAAGAGTTTTTGTTGTTATTTGACCTCTTGTTGTTAATCTCAATTCTGATTCTTTCAAACTTTCTTTATCCATTTCAACTTCAATCTGATGCTAAATTATGTAATTGATAATTATTCAATTAAAGATTTATAAAACAAGTAATTATATGGAATATAAATAATTATATTAAAGAATTATGAGGTTTATCATTGTTATGCTAATGAGGTGTGACGACTTGAACCGATGTATATATGTGCTTGATCCTACGTTGTAGCTGATTGACTGACTGACTGACTGACTGATGTGGTTCAAAGATGTGAGACAGTAATTCACTGAAGACAACGATGGATATGTTACTCAACTTCGCGGATTAGTTCAAGTTAGACATTAACATCACTGAATGTCGGCTCAGTGGTGTGAAGGTTAAGAGTTTGCGCGCGAAATTGATAGGTCCTGGGTTCGAGTCTCGCGGGGCGGGAGCGTGGATGCACACTACACTAGAGGAGTCCCACAATGGTGATCTAGCTTCAATTGACTCATGATCTCAACCATTAAAATTACTATAATATCCACGAAACCTCTTCTGATACAAAATAAATGTTTACAAAACAACTACATGAAATATAAATAACTATATTAAAGGATTATAGGGTTCATCTTTTTGTGTTAATGAGGTATGACAACTTGAACTGATGCATATATGTGCCTGATCCTACGTTGTAGCGGACTGACTGACTGACTGAGGTGATTCAACGATGCTTATTGTTGGAGAATTTAAAGTTACGCATATTTTTTTTGGAAATCAAGATTTTAACTTCGAATCTCAAAAAAAGGGGAAGTGCTAGTGAAGATTAAATTATAGGTAACTTCCTATTGTATAACTGTTCAGTAACTAGATTAGGTACATCTATATTCCTCTTATTATAAGCTTCCAGGGTGAGACTATAATATATGGACGAACTTTGAGTGACGCTAACGTGACTTTGAGAGTGTCTATCAAATTATTAGGGCTAAATAAGGGTTATAAACCGGTGTAAGGAATTCAGATTATGATTTACTGTTGATGGTTAAGGTTAGGAATTACATTTAGGGTTTTCATCACGAACTGACATCAGCTAAATTGCCAAAACTCTATTTATCCAAATGGATGAGTGAGTTTCGCGCCAAAATTTAAGACCTTGTAACAGCATAGGTTGGTTGGTTAAGAGTTGACCTCAAACAACCAAGCATATGTCAAAACAGTACAGGTCAAGTATTCATTCACTTCTTTATTTTGCATAGGCATTATATTCCCTATTATCTTATATTGGATGTTGAGAGGCTTTGTTTGTCTGAAAAAATAATCCCACGGTGCACTGTGACTGCGCGAAGATCGAAATAAAGACCTATTCACTACTTGTCTGGTTTCTTCTATCAATAGCACGAGGGTTACCTTAAGGCACGAAACTGGTGAGCCCGACGTGTTATTTCCTATCTTATAGTGTGATATGGTCTCTTTGGATAGTATATAAACCAACTATGTTTGAAATAATTGATTCGCATAATGGAAGCTGTTATTAGCGTTCTAGACTCAACTGGACAGGCTAGGTGAACAAATGACCAATAAGAACGGTATGCTGATCATATCAATCGAACGTCATTGGTTTTGGCATAGTACTAAGATTGTATAAGTCGTATTTGGATTAGCGAATAAATCTTATCTCGTCAATAAATTTTCGTAGGTTTTATTGTAGGGACTAAATGTTCCAATGTTTCAGTGATTTGATCACATTTTGATCTAATGGTTGATAAAGAAAGTTATTTGTACGCTTTGTATGTATAGAAAGATAATACTTCTTGCTATGAACTAGATTCTTTAGTTCATTAATTTATAAGAGATTTTATGATAGTCATATATTTAGCGATCTTCAATCTGCCTTCATTGAAAGAACAATATCTAGTATCAACATAAGTTAAAAGAATTTTTCTAGTATGTTAGTTAACATGATCCTCATTAGATCTAACCATAATGATCAACCAATCTATGATGAACTGATCCAACAAATCTGTACATATAAATTTAAAGCATAATTCATGATTAGTAGTATAGGTATTAACTCCGCTTGGAGTCCTTCTAGGGGTACTGCCGATTTCAAGCCCGGTTAAAGTAGGAAGGTTGGGTATGAGGTTAGTGACCCCATCCCATAGAAAACTGACTCGCTTAAAAAAAACGCCAACCAGGAAAAAAAAATAATAATTCAGTATAGGTATTGTCTAAACAACTCTTAAAGGATATTCACTTCAACTTACCGCAAGTTCACTAAGGGTTTCTTTTGACATTTTATGAATTTCATTTATACAGTTTACCCATTGACTAAATGAGTTAAAATGAAAAGAAATATTTATGAAAAATGAAAATGGGGGATGAATAACTATTCAATAAATTAATTCATAATATATGAATAAATATTGTGGTGTATGCTACTGATATCGACAGATATAAGTAGTATATATCATCAGTCAAAAGTGAAATAGCTGGTGGCAGAAGGTTAAGAAGATCGAAGGAAAGATAACGAGAATAGAGAATGATTAGTGTAGAAACGAAAGAACAATGAAGTCTGGAACGATTGATTAACATTTTGCAAATGAAGTATTCACTGTATGGTTCTTAGATTTAACTAAGAGATTCTCTAATTTGTGTGTTCAATTACATTCGATTGCGTCGAATTGTGTGTTCTAGTTCACTACGATACCATCCAGTTGCTAAATCAACACTAAAATTCGTAATAAAATGTTAGAAATGTGAAATTAAACACATAGAACCCCACTTTATGTTGTACCATACTATTGGTGGCATTAAACATGATCCTTTAATTTCCTAATTATATATTGTATCAACCATCTGTGATTATTTCCAGCAGTGTTTAAGAAATTCATTGTGCATTGGTTGTTTAAATCTTCCTAATGATGTTTAAGAATTCCACCTGAAGCCCCTTCGAGGGCTACTGCCGGTCCCAAGCCCGGATAAAGGAGGAGGGTTGGGCATGGGGTTGGCGACCTTATCCCGTGGAAAACTCATTCGCTAAAAAAACGCTAACTAGAATAAATTATTCAAACGAAATTATGAATGATGTTTAGAACTGCAATAGATCAGTCTCTTATTGATATATTTGCATTCTGTGCAGATTGCTTCGATATTACCATTAGATCGCAAGGATTATAAGTAATGATGGATGGTGGAAAGAAGTGGAATCCAGGAAGCGCGTCTCGTCCTGTTAGGTATTTGTCAACTGGATGTACCTGCTTCCTAAATCTTATGTTCATTCAATTGACGAGTCCAAAGTAGGACGAAATGCATGTCCTAGATTCCAATTTAAGTCAGCATCCATCTCTGCTTGTAGCGTTTAAGAAATCTTATAATCTAAAAGAAAGACGTTTTTACTGGGTTCGTAGATGATGATGCATAAGTAATTTTGCTTAATCTATTGATAATCAACGTTTCTACGTTTTCTATATATGTATGGAATCTAATTAACTCAAATTACTTTAGCAAAATTGACAAAAATGATTGAATATGACCAATTTGAGTTGTGAAACGATGAAAATATCTGACTTTCAAGCAGTTCGACGATGTTGTGAACAACACTGATAGTTTAATCTTTGTAGTTCGTTTTTACCTTTTGAAATCCAGAGCAGCTTCTTCAAATTTCATCTACTTATGATACCGTCTTGAATTACTTTACTCACTCGCCATCACACTAACTATACAATGACATACGTTATCCTTCTTTATTTTTAAGTCAGTCAAAATCTGTCAACAGTCAGTGCCAGTCATTGATTTCATGTCTGCATTAGATTCTCTTTGTTCGTCGATAGTGTTGCCCAGATACGTGAAAATTTCGACATCTTCCAGAACTTGTTCACCAAGTGTGATTGAATTGGTGTTCTCCGTGTTGTATTTGAAGATCATGGTTTTTCCCTTTTTATGTTGAGGCCTACTGATACAGAGGCTTCTGCTACACTGACTGTCGTCCTCTGCACCTGCCTCTGTAAGATGTCCTCTATGGACAGCTCCTGAGGTGATTTAGTCATTAAGTGTCTAAAATCTTCATAGAACACTGATCTTCCTTCTTCTCACCTTATTTAATTAAAAGTATCTCTTATTTTTATTAAAACCGTCTTCATCCTTTTATGAGACCGAATAAAAAATGATACCACCATGGCATTGTCTATCCTAATTGTAATTCATCAATTTCAAAACTCTTATCAAATTTTGTTCACTACTTTACAAGCAAAGATGGATAGTGATTAGCAGTAGAATCCAGGACACGAGTTTGGACCTATTTGTCACTCGTCAGCTTGATGTATTTGCATTTCAGAGTTGATGTTCACTCTGAGACTCGAGCCCAGTATCACTCACTTCAAACAACATCGCGTTATTCTCTTAGCTACTACTGAGTTCTTATAGCCATCTGCTTGTGCAATGGGGTGAAGTTTAAAATTCACTTGGTATTGTTTTACTTGTATCTTCTCATTGTTATTTAGGACTGCAATTGAGCAGTCTCCTGTCGGCCTATGTGCAGCCTGTTTGGACTGCCTCGAGATAACCTGAATTTACAAGCACTATAGGCAAAGATGGATAGTGGTTGGCAGTGAAATCCAGGACATGCGTTTCGTCCTATTTGAGACTCGTCAGCCTGATGTACTTGTATCTCATTTTATATATAATCAGTATTAAAAAAAACTATAAAAAAAAGCAAACCATCCAAACAAACTTTTTATTTTTTTTAACAGAATTTGCACTTTTCAAAAATTGCACACATTTTCGATTAGATATTGATGTATTATTATTATCGATTTTATTAAGATTTTGATTGATTTTATTTTGATGATTTGGAAGTAAATCAATCAGATCATTTGTTGATATTAATTGATCTGATTGATTAATTATTGATGATACATTGAAATTCTCTTCTAATATTGAAGGTTGATCAGATAATTGTTCAGTAGTATCTATGAAAACCAATGAAAACAATAAATAATATATCAATCAATTAAAGGAAAAAATGGAAACATTATAATTTATGGATGAAACAATCAGATATAAGATAGTTACTTAGGCCTGTGACTACCAATGGAGCATAGGTCGCCGACCAGCATTCTATAACCCACTCTGTCTTGGGCCTTCCTTCCTAGTTCTATCCAATTTTTGTTCATTCTCTTCATGTCTGTCTAAATTTATTGGTGTATTGTGTTCTTCGGTCTTCCGATTCTCCTTTGACCTTGAGGGTTTCAAGTCAGCGCTTGACTTGTGATGCAGTTGAGTGCTTTCCTCAATGTGTGTCCTATCCACTTCCAGCACTTCTTACTCATTTCTTCCTCCACTGGAATCTGGTTTGTTCTCTCCCATAGTAGGTTGTTGCTGATAGTATCTTGTCAACGGATCGGAAGTATTTTCTAAAGAAAACTGTTAATAAACAGTTGTATCTTTTGGATGATGACTTTCGTAGTTCTTAAATTTTCCACCCCATACAGTATAACTGTGTTTATATTTGTGTTGGAAATTCTGAGTTTGGTGTTAGTTGACAGTAGATAAAAGACAACAAATCATGAATTTTGGAGCAAAATTCATTCATACATTTGGCATTATAGTTGATATCAGTTCGTGATGGAAACCCTTCATCTCACTTTTAACCTCAATCATCAACTACAAATCATAATTCTCACTGGTTTATAACCTTCATTTAGTCCTAATTAAAAGGTGTCCATTCACAAGGTCACTTCAGTGTCGCTCAAAGATCGTTCATAAATTATAGTCTCAACGTTATTTTATATTTTCCTCTAACTCTAAAGAATTTTATTATAAATTTGAGGATTAATGAGTAAACGTTTGAAACCCTAACTACTAAATTGGTCTCTTAAACAGAAAACGATAGGATTTAGGTTCAAACTCTTATATCAGCAAAATGCAAACTATATATTTATGTATGTGGCTCTAAGTATAAAGCATGTGTTATATCTTGTGACCTTGTGCCCCTACCAATATATGACGCAATGAAACCGCCGCGGTACCGGTCGACCGGACCAATGACACATGAATCCATACGAGCAGTCTAGAGTCCTTATCGGTCCTTCTCTCTGCCCAGCCTTGCCTGTTAGAGTCCCAGAACACCAATCCCAGCCTCTGCGATATGAATCATGTATTACAAAGCAAACAGAGCACATCGTACTATAAAATAGAAAATAGCATTCGTACAAGATTTAGCCAAAAGCGGCTGTGAATGTGGGAGATAATAATTGATAGACTAGGCATAAGTCATGAACGGTTAATCGCATTATAATAATCTATGGGTCAAAACAAAGCTTGTAATAAGAAAAACGTTTTTTAGCGAGTTAGTTTTCCACAGGATGGGGTCACAAACCCCACGCTCAACCCTCCTCCTTTATACGGGCTTAGGACTGGCAGTAGCCCAGAGGGGTTCCGGGTCGAGTTTACATGGTTTAGTTACTTAGCAATTATACAATAAAAATATATGTATAGGACTGGTCCATAAATAGATCCGAAATGTTCTCATTCAATATTCTCATCGGGATATAACAGTGAATTTGATAGCTAAAAGCTACCATGAAAATGCATCATCAGTCAGTCCGTCAGCTACAACGTAAAACCAGGCACATATATAAATCGGCCCAACTTACCACACCTCATTACCACAACAACATGACACACCGGATTCACAAAAGTAGTTAATTCAATGGTGGTAATATATAAAAGGAAGATTGTGTATAAGGACATGGTGCAAAAAGAAAGAATTAGTTTATAGAAAGAAAGATATGAAGCGATTTTAATCTCGTAGTTCAAGGGAAAACGAAGAGTGTATACACCGACGCCATTGTGATCGATCGATTCTGAGCCATGTCACCAAGAGTGTGCAACCACTGGTTACGATAGTCACACGGACCCAAACCAAGTAGTCTGCATCTGCCAACATGGCTCAGAGTAGAATTTCGTGACTTCAATGACTGATGCCACGTTTTGGTTTGGCCACTTCTAACTTTCTACTAATCATCCCCTACACCAGTCAGCATTACGCTTCGTGCATCATAGTTTCCTGTAGATTGATGATGAATGAAATGGTTTAATTTTCTAAACTAAGTTCATAGAAATAAATAGTTTTAATCATTTAAATATTATTATCAAATTCAAGCTGTTCACATTGACCATAATGAAGAAGTTCTTAGCAAGTGTTATAGCCTAAAGCCGCCAATCAGAACCAGCGAATTATCGATCGGACCAAGGACGCGTAAAACACGTGCGAGCAGCCTAGAGTTCTGACTGGTCCTGCTTTCCGCCTAGCCCAGCCAGTTAAGTTCAAAATACCAGTTTCAGCGTATGTAATATGAATCTTTATATTTCAAACTTACTGAGTTTATATACCAATCAAACAGACCGCATCGTACCATCAAATAGTAAACAACATTTGTACAAGAATTAGTCAAATGTGGCTGTGAATTTGGGAGGCAGTGACTAATAGACAGGGCATAATTCAAGAATGGTAAAACGTATAATAATAGTTCATAGGTCAAAATAAAGCTCATAATAAGAGGAATATGAATATGATTAGTTTGGTTACCTAATAGTGATACGATAAAAGTATACATTTAGTATTGGTCCATAAAAGGATCCCAAAAGTTACCATTGATTATGCTTCTCGGGACCAAACAGCAAGTAAGCCAAGTATTTAATTACTTTTATTAATTCATTGTAATTTATTTGACTTACCAAATTTGGACACTTTATTGATTGATTGCAATTTCATAATGGATGATGAAGGTGTTGGACATCTTTGTTCCGATGATAATGTACCAGATTGTAAAGAATTCAAACTATTCATTGAATCAATCTATTATAAATTATTAAAAAAGTATTAATCTAATAATAAAGATTATATTAGGAGAATTTAACTAAGGCATAATTATTGTTACTTCAATCTATAATTAATGTTTTGAGAAACAACTCTATACCTCAGTACAATGGAAGATAGTTGCTCGATTTCGTGGATTGGTTGAGATAAGACATTAACATTGTTGTAAACCAACTCAGTAGTCTAGTGGTTAAGCATTTGAGCGCGAGATCGAACGCCCTGGATGTTATTGATGATTATTGAAGATTGAATTGAAGATCAAATCACGAGTAACTTCTGAGATCTATTAATGGACTAATAATACATGCATCCATGTATATTCCTATTGTATAACTGTTCAGTAACTAGATTGTATATATCTATATTCCTCTTATTATAAGCTTCAATTTGACCAATAGATTATTATGATACAATTTACTGTTCTTAAGCTATGTTCAGTTTACTGACTACTGCCTCTCACGTTCACAGTCACTTTTTGGCTTTATTGTGTACAAATGTTATTTCCTAGTTTATGGTGCGCTGCGGGCTGTTAGGTTGATATACAAACCCAGTATGCCTGAAATAAATGATTTGATTCGCATAGTGGAGGCTGGTATTTGGTGTTGTAGACTCAAATTGACAGGCTAGGCGAGCAAAGAACCAATAAGTACGATAGGCTGATCATACCAGTCGAACGTCATTGGTTTTGGCATAGTACTAAGATTGAATGAGTCGTATTTCGATTAGCGAATAAATTACGTGATAACTAGCCAGGCTTAAAGTCACAACACTTGGTTCGAATTCCGCCACAAGGATCATGGATACGTACTAGTCAAGAGTTTCAGAATAGGACGAAACGGTCATCGAATGCTTCAAGTTATTCAATGGTGGTTTAACATCAATCAATTCATGATCTCAATTAAAATATATAATAAGATATATATATTTTTTCATTAAGCTTGTTTGAACTAACTTGCTGATTTTGATATTTAGTCTTTGCTTGTTTATACGTTGTATCATAAACAAAATCATGCCAAATTTGATCAGGTTGATTTTGTTGTTCACATACTTTTTCTAATTCTATTGATGAATCACTGAAATTGGTTCATTAAAGTAAGAAAAAGTATAAAATTATAAGTAATTTAATAATTAGTACTTTAAATAGGAAGTAATGATAGTTAAAACTGTTATTGTGATCAACTATAAAAGCTCAGTAATTTGCACAGTACAGAGTCAAGAAAATTGTTGAATTTCATTGAACTCATGAACTGATCAATATGAGACCATCAATGAAAAGCTGAAAGCACCGGATAGCCATTTCGTTTTGGTGTAGGATTCTTCAGAAGTGAGTATCTACAATTGCAACGTGGGACTCAAAACCTTCTGTCTTTCGCAAACTCTTTACCTCAAGACAACTGAACAATATCCACATCCTCATACTGGAAATTCCCATATGCTCACTATTGATTAGCTTTAGGAGATTATCTCGAAGTTTTAGTGAGAAGCCTTGATCAGTGGAGTTCAACCGTGTCAGATATGAGGCAGTTTTACTCACCGAGGATAATGAAAGATGGTCACGAAATATCATAAATGATTTGAATCTAAACATCAACCCTGTTGTCCACCAGCTCAGTGCTCTAGAGGTTATATGTCCGCGCGAAACCGGAGGTGCAGGGTTCGACTCCTTAGTGCGGAATCGTGGATGCGCACTGCTGAGGTGTCCAATGATGGGATGAAATGGCCGCCCAATTCTACCAGGTTTTCAATGGTGGCATGACGTTAGTCGATTTATGATTTCAATAATTCAGTGATTTTGTTGTTTCTGTTTCTTAAATATTTTTGACAATCTAAATCTCGACTAATCACATTCGTTCACTTTCTTGTAGCCTATTTGTCTTATAATTTAGTTTGTTGGCTTCAGGTATACAAACTTGATGGAACCAACGCAAATTTACATACAGTATAAATAATGATAAAGTGACCCTGTCAAATATCATGTTCTCTTAGATCTTCAATCAAAGCATACGTTTCAGATTCACTCTGAGTACCACACTAATCTTTTAAGAAGGTACTGTTGTAATTGTTTTCTTCTAGGTTCAATATTCACTAGAGAATATGCTGTATTATGTATCTATAAGATAATATGATTTACAAACCAGTTGCCATTTTACAGATGTGAAGTGCAATCACAGCTCAATATTCAAGCGAATTGATTTTCTATCAGTTCACCACTAAGTGAAAATCATTTACCAACCATGGTAGTACTGTTTGATTACTTTCAATAGGTCATGTATTTTGGATATTTATAAATGTCTGTAGAAAGTCAAGAATATCCTTACTCATTAGTTTAACGCAGCCAAACCAAAACGTGGCATCAGTCATTGAAGTCACGAAATTCTACTCTGAGCCATGTTGGCAGATGCAGACTACTTGGTTGGGGCCCATGTGACTATCGTAACTAGTGGTTGCAGACTCTTGGTGACATGGCTCAGAATCGATCGATCACAATGGTGTCGGTGTATACACTCTCTGTCTTCCCTTAAACTACGAGATTGAAATCGCTTCATATCTTTCTTTCTATAAACTAATTCTTTCTTCCTTATACACAATCTTCCTTTTATATATTACCACCATTGAATTAACTACTTTTGTGAATCCGGTGTGTCATGTTGTTGTGGTAATGAGGTGTGGTATGTTGGATCGATGCATATATGTGCCTGGTTTTACGTTGTATCTGACGGACTGACTAACTGACTATAACTATGATTGTTATTACTATCAAATTAGTTTTTTTTATTTGTGTATTCTCTATCAAAGTAAAAGATTCCCAGTGAGACTATAATTTATGGAAGAGTCGATCAGGTATAAGATAACAGGTCTCGGATTTTGGAGTGAAACTTACTCATTCATTTGTCTGAATAGCATTTTGACATTTTAGATGATGTCAGTTCATTATGAAAACTGCAGATCCTATTCCTCACCCTAATCATCAACTGTAATACATAATTGGAATTCCTCACACTGCTTTATAACCCTAATTTGGTCCAAGTAAGTAGGTGGACACTCTCATGGTTAGTCTAGAGTCGCTTAAAGGTTGTCCATAAATTATAGTCTCATCGAATTTTCATTACATTCAGCATTGTATTTATTTGTAACTCTTTCTATTGTAGTACGTCTGCAAATGTAGTTGACATTCATAATAAGCCAGTCTGAACAACTCTTAAACTAATAGGCTAATTACAATATTTTTTATATAATCTAATGCACCCTCGTGGGGCAGGGTAATTTTACATTGGTTTTCAGTAGAACCAGACACCACACCATCCAGAATTACACGTGACAACCAAAACAGTACAAATCAATCCAGTTTAACAGGAAAGTCAGACACCACCCAGGCTTAACCCGAGCATTACAACCCAATCTTGCTTCACAGGAGAACCAAACACCATATAGGCTTTAAAGCTACAATCTGAATAGTAAGTCACAGATACCAAGCACCCTGGTGGATCATTCGCACCATTTATATACACATTCACGTCATATGCATAATTATTCGGATCAATGATCGCATGAATCAATTATGCACAACATGAACAGGTCAAAGTTGACCTATTCCGATTATAATATTTGTACAGTTGAAAAATAACTAGCCCAAACAATTGAGTAGACCATAATAAACATAAGATAAATATTAGTAAGATTTTAAAAAAAGATGAAATTCAACTTGAAATTAGGAAAAGACGTTGGAAGTGGATAGGTCATACATTACGGAAATCACCGTACTGCATCACGAGGCAAGCCCTAACATGGAATCCTGAAGGGAAGCAGAAAACAGTAAGGTCAAAGAACACATTACATCGAGAACTAGAAGCAGATATGAAAAGGATGAATAACAACTAGAAGGAGCTGAGAAGGATTGCCAAGGACAGGGTTGGACGGAGAGTGCTGGTGATCGCCTTATGCTCCTCCACGAGGGATAACAAGCGTAATTAGGTAAGTTAGCAACTTGATAATCTAATATTAAAGTACTCTTACCTCAATTTCCATGAAGCTGATATTGGCCTCCATTTGAAGTCAACTTCAGGGTGAGATAAATTGTACATTTGTTCCATAATCCATAAAACACAACAGATTTGTGTAAATATAATATCTCTATATGAAATTATTTTAATGGGAAAGAAAATTGTTATCCGTTAGAATGAATTGTCTAAATAAGATGAGTTTTACATTTGTTATTCACTAGGATTATTACAGGACACTAGAACAAGATGGTGGAGTAGATTTGTGGTTCAGGTGGATGATTTTGATAGAGTTCAGAGAACGGAACTCCATCAAAAAGGACACTAGAACCAAATGCATAGATTGACACTGAAGTACTTGACCCATTAAGATCGAATCAACGCTATCAAATTGTAATAAGAGGGGTTTTAGTGGATATAATAGTAAGTTTAATAGTTGAATTCATGAATCAATTGAAGTTAGGACGAAATAGCCGTCTAGTACTTCCAGGTTTTCTATGATGGTCTAGCTTCAATTGACTCATGAATACAACTATTAAAATTACTATTATATCCATAAAACCCCTCTCTGATAATAATCATCATAAGCTCACTAATGACTGGCTTCAAGAGATATTTCCTAGAGTTCTAGTGAGAAGCGGAGTTCAACAGGGTCTATTGTGAGATAGAAACTCACTGAAGACGATTGTGGACGCTGGTGCAATTTCGTGGATTGGTTGACGTTAGATACTAACACCTTCGGATGCCGGCTCAGTGGTATAGAGGTCAAGCGTCCTAACAAATACATTCATTCGGTTAGTCCAATTTGGAATCCTTTGATAGGTTCATTTCTAACTAATCACTTCTGTTGAATGAATCGAGAATATACTAGAAGTTTCTTTTGTATTTTTTTTGCATAAACTCTTATACATTTTACCACAGCTGTATTTTTGGTTATTTGCGTTATTTATAATATAGGTTGTTTTCCTCTTATACTTACATTAACTTAAGAGTAAATGAGTCAAGTGTAGCAAAAAGTGAATATTAAACAAACGAGAAGGACAGCTCACAGAGTCGTTCGAAGTAAGGACTGGTGTCAAGCAAGGTTGCTTACTCTCAGACTTCCTCTTTCTCCTGGTAATCGACTGGACTATGAAGACGTGATACAGTGGACAAATAGGATGCAGCTGGACGATCTAGACTTTATATATGACCTTACTCCTCTATCACACATGCGACAACAAATGCAAGAGAAGACGACCAGAGTAGCAGCAGCCTCAGCAGCAGTAGGTCTCAACATACATAAAGGGAAAAGCGAGATTCTCCGACACAACAAAACATGCACCTTTCAAGTCACAGTTGACAGAGAAGCTTTGGAGGATGTAAAAATCTTTACGTATCTGGGCAGCATCGTTGACGAACACCGCGGATCTGATGCACATGTGAAGGCGCGAATCGGCAAAGCAAGAGCAGCATATCTACAATTGAAGAGCATCTAGAGCTTAAAACGACTATCAACGAACACCATACTCAGAATTTCCAATACAAATGTCAACACAGTTATACTATATGGGGTGGAAAATTGGAGAAATACAAAAGTCATCATCCAAAAGATAAAACTGTTTACCAATAGTTTTCTTCAGAAAATACTTCCGATCCGTTGGCCAGACACTATCAACAACAACCTACTGAGGGAGAGAACATACCAGATTCCAGTGGAGGAAGAAATGAGTAAGAAGTGCTGGAAGTGGATAGGACACACATTGAGGAAAGCACTCAACTGCATCACAAGTCAATCGCTGACTTGAAACCCTCAAGGTCAAAGGAGAATCGGAAGACCGAAGAACACAATACACCAATAAATTTAGACAGACATGAAGAGAATGAACAATAATTGAATAGAACTAGAAAGGAATCCCTAGAACAGAGTAGGTTGTAATATGCTGGTCGGCGACCTATGCTCCACTGGGGACAACATCAGTGAGTAATTAAGTAAACAAACAAGAACTTACCAATAATATTGAAAATAAACACAGATTACAATTATGAATGATTTACATTGTTTAATAAATGAATAAAGCAATTAAAATACCATTCAATTTACTTAAATGAATCATCATCATCACCATCATGATCACCATCATGATCTTTTTCCTTTTTATCTTCTTTTATATCACTAGAAGTTATCAACTTATAAGTTTCATATGGTTGATTAGAATTTAAATCTTTACCAAAATTTGGTTTGCATATATTGAAAAATTTCGGTGTAAAAGGTTTTGGCAATTCACTATACCATTGTTTAGATTGTTTAAGACGCCGATGTTCAGTAGCTGAATTTATATGATTATCAGATTGTTTAATTTTATTTGATAATTCTCTAAAATTGTTTATAAAAAAGAACAAACAAAACACTGTTACATTTATAGGCAAAGATGAATAGTGGCTAACAGTGGAATCTATGACGTGTTTTTCGTCCTAGTTAGGACTCATCAGCTGGATGTTCTTGCATCTCAGAGTTGATGTTCACTCTGGGACTCATACTCAGTACCGTTTGGTCTGAACACCATCGAGTTATCCACTTAGCTACTACTGACTCCTCATAGCCACTTGAATCTTCCGATTGTTACTTAGGATTGTAATTGATCAGTCACTTATTGACATTTGAGCATCCTATACGGATTGCCTCGTGATCGCCTTAATTCACAAGCATTATAAGTAAAGATGGATTGTGGCTGGCAGTATACGGTAAAACATATAACTAATTAATTAATTCAATAGTATATTTCAATAAAGATTTTCTAAAATTATGTCAACCAACTGCGATTATGATATACGCTTTCAAGTGCTCACTAGTAACTAGCTTTAAGATGGAATTCCTGAAGTTCTAGTGGGAACCTTCGACCATTGGAGTTCAATCCGAGTTGAATGTGAGACACTTATCCACCTCAGACGATGGATGAAGTGTTGCGCATGATCATGGATTGATTGAAGTTGGACATCAACACCGTAGGATGGCAACTCAGTGTCTAGAGGTTAACTGTTCGCACGTGTGACCTTAGATTCTGAGTTCGAGTCCTATGCATGAAATCGTGGATGCACACTGCTGAGGAGTCCCGTCCTATTAGGACTGAATAGCCGTTCAATGCTTCCAGGTGTTCAATTATGGTCTAGCTTAGATTATTCTAATGGAGAAATAAAGTGGTGGAAGTTTGGAGGAAACAATAAAGTTGCATAATCACTTCAATAATATTGATTTTAAGTTACAATGATCTTAATCGTGAATAGAAATATAACGTATTGAAAAGATCTTATTTAGATACTTTACAATGTCTCAAAGATGTCAATGATCAAGCTCTCTTATCTCTAAATTCCAATCAAGAAGTTGTTTAAATCAAGTAAATTTTCTGTTGTATTCAATGAATTAGATGGTAAATAATTATAACAAAGTTGACTAAACATGGAATATGTGAAGAGAAGATATTATCATCAAATTACAAAATTACTTTGTACATGAGTTGGGCATACTTGTCTACAGTTATTACTTAGAGCAGATGCTCCCAGAAGACCGACGGTGATATGCCTTTAATAAGGATGAAAATAGAACGTACAACAACCATATGAAGCGAAGAGAGGTTCATTAGAATCTAAGTCTACAACAATCCTACCTTCGATGGAAAATAAGGAAACGCTTATCGCTGGAAGTTTTTTACTGTCATTATAGTGTGTAGATTGATTTCTGCTTCCAAGTTATCAAATATACATTACCACAAACTGTGAAGAATAGCTTCAAGACGCAACGGATATCATGCAAAAATTTTAATACTACATAACTAGCAAAATTCATATTAATACTTTCATTCAGCAGTGCACATATACGATCCCGCCTAGCGAGATTCAAACCCAAGACTTATCAGTCTTGTGATAGCTTACAGTTTCATTTCATAAGCTATAAACAATGTTGTTTACTGATATAGCAGACCTAAAAGACATCGGTCAAATCTTAAGATCATGCAACTGATCAAGATTTGACTTCTTGAAACACACACCACGGATTAAAAAATATGGGTTGCAGTTCTTAGGGATAATAACTTGAGCACTCGAACTCTAGAATCCTCCAAGTTGCAAGTAAGAAAACAGAAGAAGACTGGGGAGAGTGCTTGTTGGGCAAGAGTCAGTGTACAGGAAATCATGGGTATTTATAGATATTGGTGTTTGTTAAATCAACATTATAATTCAACCAATCCGCAAAGAAGCATGTTATACTATTGACCAATAGTAGCATACCATGTTGATATTTTAGAAAGCTCGCTTGCGTTCTGATTGGATGGAACTCTCCAGCTCTTCTAGGGCATCTGGAGGCTGCGTCGTGATTCTCAGAAGCCGTTCTAAGAATTTCTCAATTAGATTTAAGTTATTAAAGCCTTCAACTCATTTTCAGTCTTCCCATTCAAGTATCTGGTTTAGGCTCTTTTAAATAGGAAGCATATATATCATTATCACAATAGGACAGCATATGGTATAATACTTACTGTGTTTTAGTTAAAGGAATTTTTAAATCACAACCAGTAGCAATTAAATTATTCATTAATTCACGTATTTCTGGCTCTTCATCAAGTAGTTCATCTTCATCAATATCATGAATTGTCTTTTCTACTGATTCACCTAATAGAAAATTCAAAGTAGAACGAATAGGAATTGATGTTGATGTCTTCAGAGCAATAAGTCCCATTTGATAAACTTTGATAGTGTAATAAGAAGATGACAAAGATTATCAGAACTATGTGATGATATATATTAGCGCAATACATTTCATACATAATATACTCGTTAAGAACTAGACTAGACTACACTAGAAATGAAGGTTAAGAGAAGACAAGGATAATAAACAAGATCATATGAAAGACAATGTGGAAATTCATCACCAATATTACCAGGGTATGTTTAACGTGAGAACAAACTGTTTTTGAATACACAGAGGAGGTTTGGATCCTCGTATGGTTAAGGCTTCAGTAAACCTTAGTATACGCCTTTTGATACTTTTATACAACACCACCAAAAGCCAAGTTAAGATCAATCTTATCACCGATTTCAATTATGTGTTTGACAATAGAGGATGATGGATGTTTATCCTCTACTCTTATTGGGTCATTTCATGATTCTATTTGTTTCTGCAATCATTTAGGTACATGTTCACACACCCTAATTTTCAGATCACGATTACCCCTCCCCACCTAATGTATGTGTAACCACACACAAACAAACATTTAAATTGATAAACACAGTGGCATGTGACACTACTGTTTTCGTATCTTTTAGGTTTTCGATGAAGCATGAATCTTGTTGTTTCCTTGATAATGACCTTCGCTGCACAATATGTCTTGTTAATGGCTGACTTAAGTTTTTGTTTCAGTAAAAAGGCTATTTGAATCACCTCTAAATGGTAAGGTGATGTAAACAGGCTTTTTTCTGTCAAGGCTGTAGTAGGTGCTGGATCAAAGCAGAGAAGCATATTAACCTCTCAGCATTTTAAATCACTAAAAGAACTGAGAACAAACCCTGATAGTGTCTTGTATTTACTTAATGTGTAGAAATTCAAAGTTCAGTAACTCTAGACGAGCTACTGACGGATACTCAATGTCCCTTGGCCGGATACCATCAGCAATATTCTACTGTGGGAGAAAATAAACCAGCTTCTAAATGAAGAGAAAATAGGTGAAAGATGATGGCAGTGCATAGGACATACATTACATCAAACTGTATCGTGAGACTAACTTGGAATCCTGAAGAGAAATGGAAAAGAAGAAGTCCAAAGAACACACTGCAATGAGAATTGAAAGTAGACATTAAAAGAGTGAATAACAACTGGAAACAAGTGGAAAGGACTATTCAGGACAGAGTTTGATTGAGAATGTTTGTCGGTGGTCTATGCTCCTCCACAAGGAGTAACAGGCCCAAGTAAGTAATTAAGTAATGTATAACTTCAAGCCGATGAAATTTTTAAACAATAGACATTGTAACAAGAATAAAATTGCACTTTTATACTGCAAAGATGTTGGGATATTCAGAAAAATATCTCAAAATTTATCCTGTTAAGTCTAATGCTATCCTTGAACGTGAAATGGTGTCATTTTCCTATTGGTCAATATTCACGGTAGTCCTAACTGTATAAATATTCATTTGTCTGTAAATTCTTATTCTTATTCTTCTCCTGACCCCATAAACAATTCCATCTACGGTTCGTGTGCTGATATGTTGGAGATCGGGGGACAGTATCGGGGTCATACTGGGAGGTCTGAAGTTGGTCAGTCGGTAGAAATTAGAATAGTCACCCCACGGTCCACGATAGGAGATTACTTAATCACACTATCTATGACAGAACAACGCATTACTGTGGGATTATTAGTGAAAGATGTTGATTGTTTCTTATCACAAATTGAAATCACTAGGAACTAAGTATTTTAAGAAACTGTTTTCATACTAACTCAATGTTATCATTAGTCATTTTCTTTTAGATTGAATTCAGTACCATTCGCTTTTCGGTATCACTTGTATGGCTAAATCTTACGGAATGACGACGATAAACCAATGATATGAATTTAATGACTTAAAAGCTTTCTAATTACATAGTTTTATTTTGGTTGTGATCATGAACCGATTGATGTTAGACCACCATTGAAAACTTGGAAGCACTGGACGGCCGTTTCGTCCTATTGTGTGACTCCGCAACAGCGCACACACACGATTCCGCTCGCAGGATTCGAACCTGGTGCCTTCAGTCTCACGCACTAACGCTTAACCTCTAGACCACGGAGTTGGCATCCAACGGTTGTCCAGTGCTTCCAGGTTTTCACCGGTGGTCTAACATCAATCGGTTCATGGTCTCAATCAAAAACTTAATCTCGACAACCCTAATTGGATACATAATTTTATGGTCATTCGTTCTACTTTTTATTAATAAGTAGTATAATTCTTACTACAGATATTTTTAAACGCTGTAACGACTGACCAAGACTTATTAAAACTCCTTGTTTTATCTAATCTCCTTTATATTTTGATAGACTAGTTGGCTGATATGTTTCATAATTAAGTTTTAATAGTTGAATTCATTAGTCAGTTGAAGCTAGATTACCATGAAAAATCTGGAAGCACTGGACGGCCGTTTCGTCCTAGTATGGGACTCCATAACAGTGAGTATTCATGATCCCGCCCCGAGTGATTCGAAACCAAGAACCTATCAGTTTCGTGCACTTTCAGGTTTTCCACAGTAGTCTAGAGTTAATTGACTCATGAATTACTGAAATCTCTACAAAACCCCCCTCTCCCATTAAGTTTTAATTTCATAAGTGATCTACAAAAGTTCAAATCGTACAATCATTAATGTTAAGCCATTTAATCATGATATTCTTTATCTTGAATATCATAACTCAGTTCTCTAACTATCCTTATTTGTTGGGTTTCGAACTATTCATTCGGTTTTTATGAGTAGTTCTTATTCAATCACACGAATGACATCAACTTAAGTGATCATTTTAACAATCCATATAAACATACAAACTATCTTCCATCACAATATCAAATTTATATTTAATGTATACATTACTTGTTTATCTATTCATTCTATTAGATCGTTTGCCTAATCTACCAATAACGTTCATCTTCATTAGTTTATTATTGGTGAAAGTTGTGTTTAACAGTTCAATGTTATTATTTTGTACCGTTGTGGTGTGAGCTACTTATATTGATATGAGTAGTATATAACATGAGTTAAAAGAACGTGATGTCTGGCAGCAGAAAATGGGGAAGATCAAGAAAGGAAGAGCGAGAACACAATGGAATTTGTAAGAAAACGCATGAACAATGGAATGGGAGCCAATGGATTGGTGTTTGCAACAGAAACAGTCCATTTTGGTTTGATGCATGAATATTTTGCAAATTGACAATTTAGTATATAGTATCCAGATTTTATTGAGATAGTCTGTAATTGTTGTGTTAAACACATTCGATTGTCCCTCACCTGTGTTCTTGTTCACTACACCGTCACCATATTTCCTTAATTTCATTTTATTTATATAATAAATACTAATTTGGTGTCTGCTACTAATGTCGATAGATATCAGTAGTATGTATCGTTGATCGAAAATGAAATGTCTAGTGGTGGGAGATTAAGAAGATCAAAGAAAAGAAAACGAGAATAGAGAATAAATGATGTGGATACAAAAGAATAATCAAATCTGAGACGATTGATTGACATTTTGCAAATAAAGTATTTACTGTACGGTTCTCAGATTTTACCAGGAGATTCTGTAATCGCGTATTCAAATACATTCGATTGTCCCCACTTGTGTTCTCGTTTCGTACATTTGGTGTGGCTGCCGACCAGGAGGGGAGGGTGCTGTTCTGCGGCCAACGATGCGGACCTGGAACTGATGTGCTGGTTGGTGTAGTGTGTGTTACTTATATCGACATAAGTAGTATATAACGCTAGTCAGAAATAGAATGTCTGGCAACAGAAGGTCAAGAAGATCGAGAAGGGAAGAATCGGAACAGAAAGCAATTGGTATGGAAATAGCAGGAACAATGAAGTATAAGACGATTGACTGATATTTGCAAACGGAACAGCCGAGTATGAGATAACTGACATTTTTGCAAATGAAGTACTCACAGTATGGTTCTGAGATTTTACTAAGACGTTCTGTAATCTCGTGTTCAAACACATTCGTTTATCCCCGATTGTGTTCTTGTTCACTGCACTAAGACTTCTCGCATTTAAAGTTTCAAATTTTACCGGCATTAACTATAATTGATTTTAATAACAAAATATATTCATTTGGTTTTTTACGTTTTGGAATGTTACACTTGATCCATATGTCATCCACAGATTACAAATCTTAATTGGTGACATAATTTTTAATAGCTGAGATCATGAGTCAATTGAAGCTAGGCTACCATGGGAAACCAAGAAGAACTGGACAGCCATTTCATCCCATTGTGGGACTACTCATCAGTGCGCATCTTTGATCCCACTTCGCGAGATTTGAACGCAGGGCTTACCAGTTTCGCGCGCGAACACTTAACCTCTAGACCACTAAGTCGGCATCTTATGGTGTTAATGTCTAACTTTAATTGATCCGTGATTTCAACTATTAAAATTACTATAATATCCACAAAAACCCCTTCTGACATAACTTTTATTAAGAGTAAACTAACTACTTATATTAACAAATGAAATGATTTCAGTAATAATTTCCTTTGACATGTAATTGAAAGTGTTCTCTTCAATTACTGACTTCAACAAATATTTACATTAACCACTAGATGTATACAATTCATTACACTAGATTTGAGGAGATGTATATTTATGCCTTACTGATTAATTACTTCAGATGGTAACCATAAGATTGAATCCTGATAGTTCCCGTTATGAATAATGGAAGCTCTTGATTGATAAAATCCAAGAGATTATCAATAATACTTGATAAGTATGGAAATAGTTTATTCCTAGTTAGTATGTTATTGTCTATTCACTATAAACGTCAAGATTTATCTGGGCTTGAGATAGAGAAGATTTGTAGCTCAGTTGAATGATTTTGACGGAATTTTGTTCTCTGAGCTGGATAGTTTGATCGTGGAGCTTTCGTCGTTCTTCTCAACAACATTCTCAGCACGGACTTCAAGTAGAAGTGATAATGATGTCCTCCAGAAGATCGATGAAAGCTCCACGACCAAACCATCCAACTCAGAAAACAAAAATTCATTTAGGCTAAATTAAAAACCAGAACATGTTTCTATTTATAGCATGATTATTCAGTGAGAACTCCTAGGTAATTTGTCAACTAACAGGATATTACATCTTTTCATGAATAAAACAAAAACTTATAACTTTATATTGAAGAATAGATCTAAGTTTAGTAAAATTTTATGAAGCACAATCTCATCATATTGATTTAAAGGAATTTGAGAAGCCGTGACCAGTGGAGCTAATCCATTTCAGGTAGACACAGGTACCTACCTCAATACAGTCACGCAATTTCGTGGATTGGTTGAAGTTAGACAGCAACACCGCTAGATGTCGACTCAGTTATCTAGAGGTTAAGCGTTTGTATGCTAGATCTAAAGTCCTGGGTTTGAATCCCGCGAGCAGGATCGTGGACGCGCAATGCTGAGGAGTCTCATAATAGGACGAAACATCTGTCCAATGTTTCCAAGTTCTCGATTATAATCTAGCATTAATTGATTCATGATCTCAATGAAAAACTTAATAATAATCTACACAACCCCGTATTGATACAATAAATAACTTACCATTCGAGTGATTTTGCTCATTTAATGTATATGCACGAATTGGAGGTATGATTCGACTTTTTCTCGACTCTATAACTTGATTATATAAATACCAGAAGTTATATACCTGAAGAAATAAACGATATAAAATTTATGAATACAATGTACATAGATTGTTGAAGTATTTCTCTTAAATGGTCAATCATTTCATCAATACAAAGTCTAAAGCATCTTTACTAATTCAAAATGGTACCGAATATAACTTGGCTTTTGACATCATTTCAATCCAAGTTAAAAACATTATTCATTTGATTGACTGATCAAATAAATATTAATATTGTAGTGAATGAGAACACAATGTGAGGACATTTGCAAAATGTCAATCAGTTGTCTCAAACTTGACTGTTCCTTCATTTCCATACCAATTACTTTCTGTTCCTGTTCTTTTCTCCTTGATGTTCTACTGCGAGACATTCTATTCCTGACTAGCGTTACATACTACTTATGTCGATAGAAGTGGCACACACTACACCAACTAGTATCTCAGTGCCAAGTCCGAATCGGCGTCCGCAGAACACCACCCTTCCCCTCCTTCTGGTTGGTAGCGACACCAAATGTGTTGAACGAGAACATAAGTGGGTAAATTTGAAAACCATACAGTATATACTTCATTGGCAAAATGCCAACCAGATTTGATTGTTCCTTTGTTTTCACACCAATCATTCCTCGTTCTCATTCTCTTTTCTTCGACCTTCTTAACCTTCTACCGCCATATATTTCACTTTTGACTAATGATACATACTACTTATATCGATCGACATCAGTAGCACACACCACTCGGGTCCTAAATTAAGATTATGATTTTCATTTGATTATTAGAATTAAGAATTACATTAAAGGCTTTCATTTCGAACTGACATAAGCTACAGTGCTAAAACGCTATTTAACCAAATGGTTGAATAAATTTCGCGCCAAAATTCAAGACCTGTTATATTAAATCTGATTGGTTTGTCTATAATTTATAGTGGAGAAGATTTGTAGCTCAGGTTTAAGGTTAACAAGAACTAATCAACATCGAGCTGTACAGGATAAGCTGTGAACTACATGTGAAGAAATGCAAACACTTCACTTGTAACTGAAGTTTGTGTTGATGATATTGTTCAGAAGAACGATGATAGCTCCACAACTAAGTCATCCAGATCAGAGAACAAAACTCCATCATCATTTACAGTCTCATCTCTTATATTCAGGATGTTATTTAGTAGTGAAATTTAGAATGTTACCATGAGAAGTATTCCTAGACCTATAAGTAGTTGATAAAATAAAATGAAATAAAACATGAGTTAATTGCATACTTTTTGTATTAGTTCTTGACGTAGCATACCAAAGAAGCTTCTTCCATGCTTGACACATTTTGTCATGTCACTGTAAAAAAGGAGACAAATTACTTCTTGGTAAGATTGCTCCATAATAGAAACGCGAATTTCAAAGGAACCTTTACAAGGTAATATTAATGAAGGAATAGAACATTAATTTCTACTAACTATCTTATGATAACTACCAATTGAATTACCAAATTATCTGTTCAATAATTAGAAACTATTTGATGGAGATCATGGATAAGAGTTATGCTTATGATAACATTTATCACCAGTATCTATCAACACCTTTCAGAAGGTTGATCATTTGTAGGTGAGTAGGAATCCATATCAATTCACTTAGCATTCTTACATATTACTACTGATTATCCGGTCAAAAAATCTACCATCTCAGCATATCCTCCACCTTCACAAACGATGGTTCAAAGCTATATAGCTACAGTAAGTGAACTGAAGAGCGGTATATATTCGTCTTTTGACTATCAGATGCACGTCTTGTCTATGCTATGAGTGACGCATGTTGGTTAAAAGTCGAATGTGTCTTTTGAATCCTTAACAATATTTCATTGGACAATAAATCACCAATTTAAATGAAAAGTAGGGTTATGGCAATTTTTGAATTTAAATTGAGATAAATTTACTCCAAGCTTGTTACTTGGTAGTTTGTCAGCTTCTTTGTCAAACAGCAAGCATTCCTTGTCAACAAGTCAGTTTACTGGAGAAATACAGACTCTTCAAAGTCAGGTGTGAATACTGTTATTTTTTAGAGTATATACATACATAAATTAGATGAAAACGCAGTCACATCCCTCCTTAATGTCAAGAAATACAACTCAGGATAGCCGTTGTAAAGTATGACTATGTTTCAAAACTTGACGTATTGTGATAATCTAATATATAAATCCACACCCAGGTTCGAAAACAGTTTAGCTACTGAAGATTTACTGTTCACGAGCTTCAGATAAACTTGAAATCATCACTGGAGACTAACATTTTAGATACAACATTATTCAGACTAATTCCTTCGTAATTTGAACAATAGGATTCTAGTTATTTCTTATAAATTGAAAAGATCAGTGATCGAGACCAGTTAGATAGAAATATGTCAATATCTCAAAATTTCTAATATCTCAGTCAGTCAAACTTCTAAAACGAGATCACAAATTTGTCATTTCTTGATAGTCAAAAGTTCATAGACTTATACCAATCTCCTGTCCAGGTTGTTTGGTAATGTTTAAAACTAGGACCAGTAGTTGGAGAGCAACCTAACTATCCCTTTATATTCTTTATCCATTGTCCAATCTTCTAGGAACAATGTTAAATTGACTCAACCAATTATATCAAACTATTGAATGATACGTAAACTACACGAATCAAATGCAAGATTTGTTTACAATACATTAATCACATTATGAGCCATATAATACACTTACATATATTAAGGTATGATCAAAGAAGAATTGTCCCGATAAATTAGATAAATAACCGATAGCTGTATCAATCCTACAATAATAGTCGACTAATCGAAACGATAACTATGAGTATCAAACTATTGAAATTGTTATAAGACAACAAATGTTTGACAAAAAATGCAAACAGTAGTCAGTCAGTCAGTCAGTCAGCTACAACGTAGCACCAGGCACATGTATGCATCGGCCCAGGTTGCCATACCTCATTAGCACAGCAAGATGAACATCGGATTCATAGGAGTGGTATTTATAGTATATGGTTACAATAATAAAAGTATTGACTGTTGCAGATTAATGTAGATGGTAGAAGGTTATCATAGCAACGAATAGGCTATTTAAGTTGTTTGTCCAAAAATGACTAATAATGATATAATCTAGTGAAAGTTAAAAAGTTGTATAGTTCCTACAAGTCAAATGGCAAAGATAAGAATGAAGAATAGTTAAAACAACGATTGTCACACCAATAGCTGAACTTGTTAATACCAGTTTCTTTGATGAGTCTGAATAGTTGTTTTTGAATACTAACTGCTCCTGTCTATTCTATTTGTTTTGCTTTCATTTCTCATCACTATTCATAATTATTGCATTGTTTTCACTCATAATCGTATTCGCAGCCTAGAAGGATGAGCTTCTGAGCATCTGTCAATCAAGTATATTTCACCACTTAACTTTTTGTTTCAAGTTCTTGATATATATCATAGCTGTATTTACCGATTATTGGATAGTGTAAACATTATCTAGACTAAGTGCTTAGTTAATCGACTGTGAAATACACAGCAGAAGTTCTCATCTTTGAGTTATGCTATGAAAAGTTTTCCTGCTGTGGCTCTTCTACATCCAGTATTGTGTATGAGAACGCATATTCACACCAGAGCTATAAATTAATTCAAAGATATACTCCAAAAAGTATAGACTTTTCTATCTCAGGCCTCCAGCGATAGCTGATGAAGATATGATCTTTTATAGTGTGTAACTGTCCTTCAGATTTCTTACTGTCTTATTTAATCGTCAAGCCTATTAGAGAGTATCTGCCAAAATGAGACTCATGAGAATTTGTTTTGATTTCAAACTTCACTTTGCACCTACGCCAGCAACCCCATGAGAAGTAGTAGTCAATTCTTCAGATATAGAGCTAGTTCTTCATATCAGCTAGGTGAGATGAAATCAATTATCAAACTTGGATCTTCTATCCAAGCTTTTGAGGAGTATTTTATACCAACAACACGAGATTATATGGTCCTAGATAATCAAGTTTGTCTTCTGATTGGGAGTAAGGTTCAAATACTGGTAGCACAGTTTGATAGGGCAAGGAATAACAGTTAACCGAATCGAATCGTTAGCGATTGTGGTGGGTAAAGCAAAAGAGTAAGCTAGAGTAGGGTACAAGAAGAAATGTAAGGACGTGAAGAAGGGATATAAATAAAGTAACTCTCGGTGATGTTTTTTTGATTTGTAGGGAAGTATTACTACTCGGTTCCTAACACATTGGAATGACGCTTCTTTCCAAAGGAACTGAAAAAGAAACTGAATAAATATATGGTTTCGCCAACTTGAGGATGTGACTACGCAACCGAAAGAATGGCTACTAGGAATTGAACAGAAATGCTCATTTTAAAAACAGTTTCGGAAGTACATCCAGCTGACGAGTCCCAAATGGGACGAAACGCGTGTCCTGGATTCCACTGCTAGCAATATCGAAACTATACGCACAGTATGCACATATGCCAATAAGTGACTGATCAATTTCAGTCCCAAACATCAATGGGAACATTCAAGTAAAACAATACCAAGTGAGTTTCGAATACATTAACTTCATACTTTTCAGACCTAGCACTCGTAAATCCGTCGGGTAATGTAAAGTTTTTTACTTTAGAATTAGCTTTTTATAGTCTCTACTTCTACTGCGGGAAAGCATAATCATTGTGGATTAGAGTTAACCATTAGAAGCACCTTATTGCCACCGAACCTTAGCATGGTCAACAAAATCAAGTTGCAATCAGTCCATTATTTTCTTATCTTTTTAACTTTACCTATGTCCATTTGACCTACCTAAGATGGCATAAATTAAAGGTGCAAGTGTTGCAGCCAGAATTAGATACTGTAGTAGACAATCTCAATTAGTGCGTTCACGTAGCAGCATACTTGCATACCTAAGGAGACAGATTTCCAGTTCCAGTGGACTAACGAGGTACCATAACCTCATTTCATTTCATCGCTAAGTTCATGCTTCACTTCTAACAAGATGGGTTGCATAGATGACAAATTTCTAATAACAATTCTGGTAAGCCATTTTGTTCACTGATTGGCATAGATTCATGTATGTAGTTAATTATACATTGGTAATCATCATAAAAATTCAAATGATTGATCCAACAAGATAATCAATTGTCTGATCAAAGTATCAAAGCATATCATTCCTAGAAACAAACTGTTTTGTGTATTCAATCAAACATATGGATCTTTCCTTGTTACCACTGTTAAACGCAGTTCATTCTATTTAATACTACGAGTATAGTTTTCTTTCTATTGAGAATTCCATTTATAAAACTTTTATTTTTAATCTAACTAGGAATTGACTTACTTGGATTGCTGAATAACTTTCTTTAAATCGACGAAGCCCCGTTTACGTCTTCTTTCCATATATGCAGAACCTGACTTCGGAAGATAAATCAATTGAATATCATCAACATAGTAAGTTTGTTAATTGACGTTTTTTTTTTGTTGAAATATATAGATAACACCCAAAGTTTATTGACGACTGGAAGTCGCCTACTTCTTCTAAGGCTAAACGAATAAGATTGCCTACTTATGTGTTATCAGTTTTGTGGAGACTTAAATGGTTTGTGAAATAATATAACTTTGATTAATTTCTATTATGAATCGATATTCTCACCATAATATCTTGTTGTTCACTTCCAATGATCGTTTTCAATATTTACGATTATCTTAAGTCCGTAAAATGCTTTTCCATACAGAAGAGGGGATTCGTGCTACCGATGAAATAGAAGAACAACAAATGAACATTAGAAAAATGCCTTAGGAATAAATGCTATCCATTGTGATTTATTGACGAACACGGTGAAATCGGAGGTAAAAGCAGTTAGATAGAATAGAATCACATCATTCCTTTTGAACCGTCGTCAATGCATTCTTCAAGCTAATATAAAGAACTATATTTATGATTTGAATATAGTGGTAATGATGTCTCTAGCACCGATGTCAATCCTTCGATACTGAAAGTGTAGTTTTATTTCAGGTTGTCCATATTATCAACGGTGACTTAAAAGCAGCATTTGACTCTGTACACAGCGAGATTCTGTGGCAGTGTCTGTCATTGAAAGGCGTACCTCAAAAGCACATAAACCTTGTGAATGCTCTTTACTCGAACACTACTAGTCGATTCAGAGCTTATGGCGAACTGTCATCTGCTTTGACAACCTCAGGTGGTGTCCGTCAAGGTTGTCCGCTTTCTCAATTTTTGTTTAACTTCACCATAGACCTACTGAATTTTCGGGTATTGATCTCTTTCCAGGAGGTCTACTTATCGACTTAGAATACACATGATATAGTCCTGTTTAGTGAAGACGCTGATAAATGCAGAGTCTTTTGATAGCACTGAACAACATTGCTAGAACTTTTTTGGAATGCGTCTCTCCCCCTCTAAATGCAAGTTGTTGCTTCAGGACTTGTCTGCATCAACACCTCAACTAAGGATAGGGAGTGAAGTAGTCGAACGCGTTGACAACTTCACTTATCTTGGAAGTCTGATCAGCCCTCATGGGTTGGTGTCTGAGGAAATCTCAGCACAGATTTGAAAAGCTTGTTTTGCTTTTGCCAACTCACGTCACCTATGGCGAAGGCGAGATATCCGTCTATCGATCAAGGGGCGAGTATACAGTGCGGCAGTTCGTTCCGCTCTAATTTACGGCTGCGAAACGTGGCCATTAAGAGTAGAAGATACTCATAACCTACTAGTATTTGACCACAGATATCTTAGAACTATTTCTCACATCTGCTGGAATCACCGATTAAGTAATAGTGAGGTTAGACGTACGGCATTAGGGAACGATGGGAAATCAGTTGATGAGGCTGCAGATATTCATCGACTAAGATGGTTGGGCCACGTGTCACGTATGCCCAAACACCGACTACCACGACACGCATTGCTGACTAGTGTTGCGGATGGTTGGAAGAAAGTCAGGGGCGGCCAAACCAAAACGTGACATAAGTCCTTCAAGTCATTAACTTCTAATCAGAGCCATTTTGATAGATCCAGACTACTCGGTTGGGGTCCGCGTGAATATCGTAACCAATGGTTGGAGAGTCTTGGTGACATGGCTCAAAATCAATCACAATGTTGTAGGTGTCTGTGTTCCCTTGAACTATGAGATTAAATTACTTTATACCTCCCTTTCTACGAACGAATTCTTTGTCCCTGTATTATGTCCTTATATGCAATCATTCTTTTATATATTACCACCATTGAATTAACTACTTTTGTGAATTCGGTGTTCATGTTGTTGTGTTAATGAGGTATGGCAACTTGGAAGAATGCATGTATGTGCCTGGTCCCACGTTGTAGCTGACTGACTAACTCACTATCATCAATTCACTGATTAGTTTATTAATTACGGTGATTAAGTTGTTAATAAAGTAAAACAATAATAAATACAAAACAACATTTTAACAACCAAGGTTATTCGACTGAGTAAAGGTCATAATGGTAGCACATTCATAATCAATTATAACGAATTTTCGTTTACCTGTGTTGAATAAGCTGTAGGCTTTTCATTAATCCCAACTTGTTTGGGACGCAGCGGTTGAAAACTTTTTTCAGCTGACTCCCTTGGTAAACTAGTTTGTTAAAAGTACCTAGATTAAAAAAATTGGCTTGTAAAAAACTGTACGTTCTTTAATTAAGAGTAATTTCCGATTTGCTTAGCATAAATTCTAACTGTTCATTTATCACTCAACAATTAACCAATCATCTTCTCACTAGTGACTGACTTCAAGAGATAATCCTGGAGTTCTAGTGAGAAGCCATTACCAATGGAGTTCAACCAGGTCTGTTTTGAGATTGAAACTCACTGAAGACAATGGTGTGCGGTGGCGCAACTCTGTGGATTGGTTGAAGTTAGACATTAACACCGTTGGATGCTGGCTCAGTGGTCTAGTTGGTTAAGCGCCTGGCGCGAGACTGATAGGTCCTGGGTCCGAATCTCGCGAAGGGCGGGATCGTGGGTGCGCACTACTGTGGAGTCCCATACTAGGGTGAAACGGCCGTCCAGTGCTTCCAGGTTTCCCATGGTGGTCTAGCTTCACTTGACTCATGATTTCAATCAGTGAAATTAAACGGGTCTCTAGCATTTTCTACCCATTGACCTCAAGAACAAGTTTGTAATATTCATATCAACCAACCTGTAGGTGAAAATTTGAAAGGTTAACCAAGACTTATGACATGAATCATGTCCCTGCTGAATTGACAAATCGACTAATTATGTACCCTAAATTCTGTCCCTTATTGTAAGACCCACAGAATGTTTTATAATTGAATTTGGTTTGATTCCCAGGATTAGGGTGTTTCATTTACGATGATGTTGTATTTTATCAATTTGGATAGAGTTAGCTGAGCAATAATATTATAAAGATTGGTGACTATCCCTTACTGTTCACTAGTAGTAATCTAGTCAGTACTTTTGGATATTTAGTTTTAACCCAATTGTTTGGGAAATTACACCTCATTTCTTCCGCTAGCATTTAACTATCTCAACTTAATATTTGACTTCTAAAAGTATATTTCAAAATATCGTGGTCAGCATAGACCAACAGAGATAGTTTGTTTAATATGACATATATCAGATGATCCTTTTATTCAAAAAACAACTTAATTTCAGTCAAAGCTGGAAGCGTCTATCATCTTAGTTACTAGTATCCTCATACACATCAAAATACATAATAAATGGCTGTCTAATTTAAAAACGCACCCTTCCACTGTTCTTCATTACAACTTTTGCCTCCAACACCTTCGGCGCATTCGCTTGACTCATGTCCGTACAGCATGTTCTGTACATTAAATGCAAAAAATATCATAATCAGCATAAAAATAGTTCTAGTAAGAATGAATAAATGACGTCATGTGTTACTGATCAGTTTGTACTGATATTGGTGACCGCTGACGGCAGTTTGCAAAAAAAAACTTAAAAATCTGTGAAAAGTACTATATTTATTCAGGAAACTACATGCTTCTTTGATCTACTTCCAATCAAGTTATCAGGGACACAAGGTTGAAGGGTAGTGAGGGCATTCTAACGGACGTGGGTGTGGTCAAGATAGCAACGAAAAACTCTGTCGACGAGTTTTTAAACATTCATATTGCTGCTGATAGAAGAGATACCGAATATGTCAAACGACTAGAAAAAAGTGAACCTAGTCATCCTAAAAGTAATTTTCTCACTGTATTTTAATGGGAGGGGTTTATCGCTAAATTTATTGGAAGCCTAGATTAACTTCATGCTGGCCGGCTGTTCATTCATTTTAACGAAGTAAGTGAGGTCTATTCATATCAACATAGGAGATTGGTTTTCACTCCACTAATCGGGAGTGGAGATATATCATATCAGCCATGTACGTATAAACACATTATCGACTTCTTATGGCCTTCTTTATTACGAACTTTATTTTGAAGTAGAGATGTGAACCGAATCCTTTCGGAGAAGGACCAAAAGTTACCTGTAGACGTAGCCTTCGTTGATTTCAGCAAAGCTTTTGACAAGGTTCCGCACAACCGGCTGTTATATAAGTTAAGAAATGTCGGGATTGGATGCAATCTATTTATTTGGATAAAAGACTTCTTAGTTGGGCGCCAACAAAGAGTACGTGTGAACTCAAAGTTATCTAGCTGGGAAACTGTGCTTAGTGGAATGCCTCAGGGTTCAGTCTTGGGGCCAGTGTTATTCCTCTTGTATGTAAATAACATTCCTAGCCTAATATCATCATCGGTCATGCTATATGCCGACGATGTCAAGATATGGAGAGCGATAAGAAGTAAGGATGATAGCTTAGAACTCCAAAATGACCTGAAGAAATTATCTGAACGGTCTCAAACCTGGGAGTTGCCGATAAATACTTCCAAGTGTATTGTGATGTATATCGGTCATCAAGGTACAAATACATACACGATAAATAAAACTGAGCTGCCTGGTGCCCAGACACACAATGACTTAGGAGTCATCGTTAGCCAAGACTCGAAGATACTGCACACTGCCGTGCAACAGCCGCCAAAGGTTTTAGAACTTCATGTCATGTCAATGCTAAGACGTTTTTTGAATTTGTATACAATTTTCGTACGTCCTAAACCTGGGTACTGCATACAAGCTGCTAGCCTCTGCCTAAAAAAGACAGTAAACTTTTAAAAAAGCTTCAGAGAACAAAAACTAAGCTGACTACCGGAATGGCTGAGCTCCCGTATAATGCTCGACTAGCCAAGCTAAACTTATTCCCGTAGAACTAGAGGCGACTTGATTTCAGTTTTCAAGTTGCTTAGTGATGAATTTGTACCCAATATGCCCCCATTTTTTGTCTTCCAAAACAGAGAATTTACGAGGACACTCCAAAAACCTTCACAAGCCCGGGAAAAATTACTTGTCAGCTGAATATCGACTTTCCTATTGGACCATAAACGAGTGGAATTCATTACCTCAGCACGTGATTGAGGCTGGATCCGTCAGCTCTTTCAAAAGAAAGTTGGATCAACTGAGAGACTACCATTGCCGCGACCAACACAGACCATCAAGTCTCCTGTCCTTTCCAAACTGAGGCTGAAACGATATAAGTTGCTATCCTTCTTCGTTGGTAAGTCATTGAGTATAAGTTCCTTTAAACAGGGTTAGATACATAGTTCAAGAACTAAAAGTTTCGGACTGGACGCAAAATTCAAGAAGAGCTATTCTATTAGTTTGTTGGCAAATTGTAGTTTCACCATGTTGACATTTATCTCAGGATCAAAAGTTATAGGCTGTGATTTAGAAACAGCAACGAATCGCCTGGTATGAGCAATCGAAAGAAACAAAGTTGAAAATTTGATAAGTTCAACGCTCAGTTTTACTTTATGATGACAAAAGACACTTTTGTGGTGTTATTTAAAGTATTCTGAGTGATATCCTATACTATATCCTTATTGCAATCTTTCTCCTATATATTACCACCTTTGACCTAACCACCACTATGAATCCGGTGTTCATCTTGCTGTGCTAATGAGGTATGGCAACCTGGGCCGATGTATACATGTGCCTGGTCCTACGTTGTAGCTGACTGACTGACTGACTCATGGCTTTCATGATATGCCGTTAGCCCTACCACCTGTTGCTTGAGTATTTTAGTGTGACTAGTCTTATTTACTTTGATTATCAAAATAAATTGTAGTGTCACAGACCAATTTGACCACGTGGACATGGTTTCAGTCATTCAGTTCTTATCATGGTCATAAACGTTTTAGTGATTATGCGGGACTGAATACAGTCAGCGTAGTATGGATACGTGAATCAAATACAACTTACAGGACGTTGAGGAATGTAACCAATAGTACTTTTAATCAAAAGTGTTGCATCAACGACCAAAGGATGCCCTAGCTCTCTGTAGGCTCGATTTGTGGGAGCGTATAAGCCTTCGAGTTGTTTTTGACAGCATCTTCGTTGATAATTATTGTAACGTATCTTTGAAAAAAGGATAATATCAAAATCAACATACTTCAGATCTAGAAGGAGGTGTGAAAGAACAAATTTCGAAGTTTCTTGTTTGTACTTTTAAGGGTTGATCCATTTGTATTGATGTTTGACTCTGTCGTTATCGTTACTGTAGAGTGGTGTATTCAAACAAAAGGTAGCTTTAGATGCTATATATCGTGAAAAAATGTCATATTTAAAATAGTTCAACAGGCGTTCCTAACGTTGGGGTATTCTATCTCCTTACTCCTCGTTTTCAGAGTTTTAAAGTAGACGTGGCACATTTAATGATCACTGAAGAACGAATTTATGACCTCTCACTTCTGAGCCCCTGGGTACAACTGAGGGACAGTAAGTTGTAACTTCAAGCTCTCATTTCGGGGAGATACTGGTGGAATGCAAATTCTTCTGATCACCTCAATCAACAATGCTAACATCAGTGTGATTGTTTACCCATAAAGGGAGAATGTTATTTCGGAAGTGGTCTAAATCAGCACATAAACTAATGGTAGAGTGTAAATTAGTTGAGCATATTGATCACCTTACTTATCTAAGAAGTCTCATTTAGCCTGATGGGTTTGTGTTGGTCGAATTCTTGGCACGAATTCAGAAACCTTGGAAAGCTTTTTACAGCTTACTGTACTTGTGTACTTCATAAGATAACTGACTGCAACTAAAAAACGAGTTTGCCGAGCAGCAGTTTGCCCCGTCCTATTTTACAGGTATGAAATATGCCAATCAAGAATTGGGGATGCTAGGAGTCTAATAATGTTCAACGATAGGCGTCTTTTGACTATTGCTCATATGCTTTAGAACCATCATGTCAGCAATCCTGAGATTGAACACAAAGTTTTAGGTAATAATGTCACTCCGACCGATCACACGGAGAGTTCTACGCATGCCTATACACTAAATACCTTGGTGCGCGATGATGGCCATTATGGAAATTTTGTTGGGAAAAAGGTTGGGAGGGTAAGCAAATATTATATGTGGTCGTTGATCCTTGGATGGAGCAATTGAGTTAGGCTCAGGCTAACTAGTTTAAGTCCTCATGTGTAGCGAAACAAATGGTTTGAAAATTTGTGTGGTGAAGCTCAAAATCGTCCTCAATCGAGCAAGTACATCCACACTTTCTTTCTTTAGATCTTAAGTTTTAAAATTACATTATAAGTTCCTTTCATTTCACTTATTCGCATTTTCGCTCTAAATGATATCTTTTGTCTGATTAGTTACTAAATTTAATGTTCTCAAATTCGTTTCGTCAATCTTATCTCACTGTGCTATTGGTATCAGGGAATATTATAAACATGTGCCAGGTACTATATTGATTATTTAATACTTACCGCCTTAGGGTCTTTATTTTCCATTACCTCTAAACCATTAAGATAAGAGGGTATACTCAATGATATTTTAATATTATCCTAATGACATCAGTGTTTATAACGAATATGAAGACAGAAGAGTTGACAAGCATTAACTTTAATTTAGACCAACTTACAAGGATGCACAGACCAATTTGAGGTGCTAGTAAATTATTATTCCATGCTGCCTCTCGACAAATTTCGTTATTCTCAGAGTAAAGGAGTACTGAGACGTAACTGTAGGGACAAGTTCATTATCGGACGGCGGCTCAACAAAGAATCAATAATGAAATCCTTCTGCTTCCACGAATTGCGGACATCGCTCGACTACAAGGTTAGTTTGTTCATAGTAAAGCGAGTTTATCTAAAGAGTTACAACAGATATTGGGCTTCTAGAGATTATAGGAACTATGTCCAACTGAAATTGAACTGAAACAAAGGTTAACGGGAAGTGCCAGTACCGGTGGTCCGGTCTCATAAGGATCTTGGGCTGACAGTGTGCCATGATATTAAGACGACAGCCCATTGCCGGGATGTCGCAGCTAGTGAGTTTAGAATCCTGTGGGCTTTAAAATGGACATTCAATAAGTTAGACACTACCATGTTCACTACAGTGTACACAACCTTAGTGAGAACTAAGCTAGAGATCTGCGTTCAGGCTGCAATCCCCTGTTTAAAAAGTGGGTCAGATGTCCCGGAAAAGTATAGAGGGCAGCTATCTGTGCAATTCCAGAACTCCGGAGTTTATCATACAAAGAGGGGCCTGAAATGCTGGACCTCTTTACTCTGTCCTATCGCAGATTAAGAGGTGATCAGATTTTGTTGCATAGAACACTATGAAATGATTTTGAACCGAATATACCCTATAATTTTCTTTCCACTAGATCGGGACATCTCAGGGGACATGGCAGGCGAGTGAAAAAGCCGAGAACGAACAAAATACCCATGGTATACCGATTTTCATATCAATACTTGGAATTTGTTACGCGAAGCAGTGGTGTTTGCACCTTCAATTGAGTCATTCAAGAGCAGACTGGACACTCACAGAAGCATACTAGAAAAGAAATAATATAGGCCGCAGGCCTTCTGTCTTTATTAGGCAAATCTGAAATCTGGAATTCCCTCCTACAACTGGGGTCAAGGTCGTGGGCACCGAACGGCGGGTAACTTTGATTAAGTTTTACGCTTTTTTCGTGCACTTATCAGTAGAATGCCTTTATGCTGCGGTGGAATCGGAACACCTAGGGAGCCGTCTGCAGAGGAAAAAGAAAAATTTAAAACTCTGGTAAAGTTCTGTATATTCCGCTTAATATTCTCAGTTAGAAAGTAAGTTGGAGTCCCATATCGGACGAAAACCTCGTTCATTTGAAATCGTCCAGATCACTAGTCAGGTAGTCGCAGGAACAAATCACTTCGTCAAGGTAACGTTTAGGGTTTCCGTTTACCGAAAATTTACAGGTGAAAATAGATGATGGCGACTATATCCACGCTCGAATTTTTGAACCACTACCCTGTCATGGCAAAGAACTTCAACTACACTCTGTCGTTAAAGATAAAAAGGAAAGTGATGCATTGGAATACTTCTGAAACTCGGTTTTCATACCTGCCGCTTGTTTGACTTATATTCTTGTCTTTTATAATCTCTTAATATACTTTTGATGCTCATATATATTATTTATGATATGATATGTACGGTTCTCTGTACTAGCATCCTACTGTATATATGGTGGGAATGTAAATGTGTAACTGTTGACCTGTAATCCTATGATTGTAGATTGACCAATAGCTCTCGCGTATCCTTGTCGCTTGAGGGAAAGGACTGATATATATTCCGTCCCTTCTTATAGAAGCACTACTTGCAGCAACTAGCGAAATTTAACTGCGGCTTCTTCATGGCATGCAAATCAAGTATTCCCGGGTGTTTCTAAGGAACTGATAATCTTAAGAATTATATCTTGATGAAATTAGTCTCAATGATTGTTTGAAGACCATTTTGTATTTCATACTCAACAGGTTTAGATAAAGTACATCCTCATAAAGAATGTTTTTACCTGTATACTCTACTAAATTAAATGACATGTTATAAATAATACTAGCTAGTTTGTCTGTTTAACTGTTGAAATAGTGGGAAGTATCCGTGCCGCAACCGTTGTGTCCCAGCTAAGATAGATCACTATTGTTTAAAAAGGCACTGTCTTGTTATGTAGTTGGAAGCAATCGCTGTAAAGCAACGTAACCATGTTCTGTGTTAGTAAGCACTGGTCAAGCCAGCGTTTCTGCAGTCTTGATTGAATGATACTTGTTTCCAAACGATATCCGTATAAAGTGTGAGTTTAGATTATAGCTACACATTTGATTTATTTTTGAGCACTTGCTCTGTTTCGTATTCCAAATCGTCGTATCCCAAACGTTATGATAAGGGTGGGAATTATCCTAATAACTGTAGTATTTTTATATTGGAAATATAATTCCCTCTTTTTTCATATAACTTGTCTGTAGAATGACTTAACGTGCGTGTAAATAGGTTGGATTAAGAGTGCACGTGATCTCTACCACAAACAATGTCAAATGATGCCGAAATGACTAGCCGAGTATACATATGACTAGCTACTACCGTACTAGTACTCTATAAACGAAATGAATATGAAATCGAATATACTCTACACCACTATTTGACGTACAATTTCGCGGCTGATAGTTTAACCTTACTACTGTTGTTCATTGAATTTGATACAGAATTATCATGGAATCAACCTTTACCAGTGATTGAAATGGTCATTATAAAAGATGATGTGTTTCTGAAACGAGAATGCATGAGGTTTATTATACTTTTAAAATGATTTTAGTGAAATCTTCCGTAAACTATTCCACATTATGGAAGTGTTGCGCGAATTTCTCCACATGCTATATTTCTTTATTAAAACGACTAAAGATATATTGCCGAATACAGAACAAAGTTTACAGACCTGAAAATAGAAAGGTGTTTATTCAGTTATTATTCGTCCGAGATCACCATTTATAAGAGCAATCAGTGGTTAAAAGCAGCTCTAAAAACTCATTCCTCGCTGCGAAATTGGCTACTCTTGATTGCTTCCAGGTCATTGAGCTTCATAATGCTTCACAAATTGTACAAAATTCAGGAAGAGCTGGCTCTTAAGGGGTAAACTGTCTTTCGTCCAGGTCCTGCATGCATCGACTACAGCTTCATCGTCCGCCGAATCCTGGAACGTCACTACATTTGTCGCAGGCAAACAACCATTGTGATTTTTGAGTTCATAGCTGCCTCCAGTTGATTGGTTCTTTGCTGTTTAATTGTCTATTGAGGAATGATGTTTTCTTGAGAATTTTATCAGGATTTTTGAGGTTGTGCACACAAACTGATGCCATGACCAAGTGACTGGAACCAACATTTGTGATAAATTATTGTTGGGTTTGAGATAAGGTATCAATACTGATGGTGTTCTGATGGATGAGATTGACATGCATATGATGATCTTTAGGACGTCTTGAGTCAACCTTTACTAAATTTAGTGCCGTTGTGATAAGTCTGATAGTAAAATATTTGGTCTAAAATGTGTCGTTGAGAGGAGTTCTACACTGTCCTTGTGAAAACCTACTATCTGAGCTAAATTTATTTGACCCCTGTTTGTATCCAATCATCACAGACATCCAGTTATAACACTATGTTGTTAACACTGGGGCTTTGCAGTGTATTTCCAGGTTTAGTAAAGATAAC